AGTGAACACAACTGGACTGTCCGCCAGGCGCGAGTATCGGCACTGGCTTTGGAGGAGGAACAGAAAAGTTCGGAACTTACGCGCATCTGGTGGCAATTAAACGGCTCGCTGCTTCGTTCTGGTGGTACCGCACGCCTGCCGGTGGTTACACGGTCACAATCGACTATGCTTGTGAGAAGAACACTTACAACGGCCGCTTGCCTCATCAGAGTGTGTCCAACTACGACAATGATGCGTGTCAGGGCTCACCGATGCGCACAAAGAGTGGTTAGTTCATTGATGACGCCCGCAGAGATTACAACGAACTTCTGCGTTTTTCGAATATTCGTGTGCTTTTCGACACATGTTTCAGCGACACATCCAAATGCCACTTGCGAGGTAACCTTAGTGCTTTTGCACATGATATTCTTCGAACATTATGCTGAATACGGCTGGGACATGGAGAAGCGAGATGTGTTCTGCGTTGAAGTTGAACCCCCTTCGGTAGGTGATCGTCCAGTGGCCCTGTGCGCATGTCGGTCAACTGACTAGTAATTTCCTGTAGGGGGCTGCTTGCTTGCCGACCTGCCGTTGATGGGTACGATGGCAAGGACCATGATCCTCGAACTTACTGATCACGCGGAGCCTCCTCGTGGGATCGAACTGAGGGTTCGGCTACAGGCACATCTTATTGCCTACATCGTGAGAAACCTTCAGGCACGTCGTCGTTCCCAACTGCCATTACCGCTTTTGTGGGGTAATGGGGTGTCCAAAGAGATATCATGCGATGTACACTAAACAAACATGCAAGTGAGTTCAACTAGCGGCGTGACGGTAACGAGCTACAACACTTTGAAATATTCCGACGTGATACGATGTGTCAAGCTTGCCAGAGAACACTAGGAACGGGATCTCGATAAGAGAAAAAATTCCACAAGAAATGGAGAAGCGCATCAATGCTAACACTATCAGCACAGGTACCGCGATGCCGAATGAGGCGTCCGTTTATGGAATGCCATGCACAGAGTGGCAGGCCCAAATTGATGAGATTTCGAGTTTAAATTGTGTCAACACATCAGCGCTACATCCAGATTGGGACCAAGTCAGTCCAACAAGGAGTGAAACTCTGCTTGCCTCCCTCGTCGGAGCGGGTCCCGTAGTGGGAGACAGTGGGTCGGAGCCAGCGCTCAGAGTGGCTCCGTGCTGTTGGAGCTTTCGGAGTTGTGAGTTCTCAGATGTCGCATTGCAGGGTCATCAATGACTTGTCTTGTTAAAGGCTAGGGTTCACCGTCTCGTCCACAGTTATGTTCCATTCCGGTGCCTGTTCGCATTCCAGCGAACTGCATCCGCCCCCACCGATTGGGATCCTCTCCAATCTAAGAAACTTCATGATCCTAGCCCCGCCACGGCCTCGGATTACATGTCCGCGAAGCACCATCAAACACTGCCTGCTGCTTCTGTTAGCGGACAGGCAAAGTGCTTGTAACAGTGCCGTCCTCCATTCTCTGCCTGGGGACTGGTCCCGTTGCGGCGGCAGATGCCCGCTGTAATGACACGAACATGCTGCTGCTGCACGCTGGAGAGTTGAGGGATAGAAGTAGATGGGAAAGAAACGAGAACATTCCCTCCACTTGCCCTTTTATGCTGCCCCCTGTCTACCTTCACCAGCTAGGGATGGGTTTATCTTCTCCCTTCGGAACCATCACATCATGGGGGAGGAACCGTCAGGCCGGTCGTTTGATCTGGACGGAACTCAGCCCAAAGCTGATGTCAAATGTCCGTCACGTCTTGGGCCTGCTGCTGAAGGTTTCGGCGGGGCCGGGTCCGGCACGACCGCCGGCAATGGTACCAAAGTGCGATTAAGGTTGAAAATGGTTCATGGTAAGCTCGATCTGCGCATTAGTTGCGGCGAGAGGTTTGACCGAGTGAAACCTGCTAATGTTAACGGCACAGAGCAATGTGCAACGTCGTTTGATTAGGGAATGGGGGCCCCCCGGCCTGTCACAAGCTCGAATCTCGACACGTAGCCGCAGGAATGCAAAAAGCATCCGACTCCAGACTCTCTTCACTACAGTGCGCTAACATGTCGTGTAGTGTAGTGTATCCTCATTCTCAGCAGACTCGGAGCAAGCTTCGGTAGCTCGAGTCGTCCCATGGACGCTCACTTTAGAGACCCACAGCTACCAAGTCAGCTTTCCTGAGTGCCGGTCGTTTCGTGTAAAGACAAACAGCAAGGTTGGTGCTGGTAGCAAGCGGGCGCCTTGATATTCCCCTTTCCTGTTTGGAAGCTCACTCATTGTTGCCGAGCCAGGCTTTCCTTGCCTAGCTACCCCGGTTGTCTGTCAACCGGCCGTGGCCCTGCGAAGCCGGTGCAGGCGCAGGTACAGTTGCACGTGTGGTGCGCAAGTACCTCTACATTCACTCTCTGAGAGCCCCTGGCGAAGGCTGCCTGGAGAGGCAAGTCTCGTTTGGTTGCAGTACAGAGCCGAGTGCCTCCCTCCACTGTGCTCTCTCGTACCTCTCTCGCTTCTCTCGAGCTCCCAACCCGGTGCCTGAGCGGCGTTTCCTGCATGGTGGAGTCTTCCCGTCATTTGACAGCTGCCACGGGTGCCAAAATGGCGTTTTTCCGATATTCCTTCTCCCCCCCTTAGGCTGGGTCCTTGGGACTTCGGTCGTCTTGCTCTCTCCACTTTTCCTTCTCGAAAGAAGTTCAAGGTGTGGTTGAAAGTTGAAACGACCAAGCGCCGCCGGGTGGCCTCTCTTGGTCACCAATGGGCTATGGATACCTCACAGCTTTCTCCGCTTCTCGCTGCTCAGGCAGAGAGTTCGTGTGGCTCCCATCGTCTCCGTCTCCATCCCCATCCCCATCTTCACGTCCCTTTGATCGAAGTTTCGATGATCCCTTCTCAACGCTGCTTGGCTTGGTTGCTCTCTCTCGGCCTCCCTCCCTCACCTTGTGCTATTAGCCAGGGTCACAAAACATCAAACCGATCATCGTCTGCGCCTGCCTCGCCAGCCGAGGGGCCACATCTACACCATGTGTTTATTTTTATTCTTCTAACCCAGGCGTGCACGACAAGCGAGCCAGCAGATTGATTCATTCCCAACGTCTCCGCCATGGCCGCTGAACGCATTTTTAATGCGCTACCATTCTACGGTCAAGTCCGGGCTTCGAGTCCACGTCCTTGCTGGAGTCAAAGCAGAGCCCGCACAAGCCTGCATATTCCATCCTGTCGGCTTCTCCATCCCTTTTATGCCGTGGTCTATTCGCCGTCAATCGGATATCGTTGTGTCCGAGATCGCGTACCATGTCAGATTGACAGACATTGGACCCCCTTTGCTCAACGACCCTGGGTGCCGAAATAGCAGCACCCAGACGCCGAAAGGAAGTGGTTGCCGCACGACGTCACTCTAGGAGTCCAGTCAGCCAGCCCATCATAACGGACTTATAGGCTGCACTTACGTCGAGTGGAGGGGCAGGAGACGAATGGCAGCACCAGCAGCACTACCTACGACCACCACAATCAGCAGTCAGTTAGTCCAATGGGCGTGCCCACGACTCCGCGCTCACACCCTAGGGTCCATCATCTCTCTGATCTCCTTACCGCATCTTCACTTCATCTGCAGCATTCATGCCCTCCTGCCAAGCACCCTGGCTCTCCTCTTGCTACGCACCTCCATCCAACCAAGATGGGATCGACGATGCACAACCTGGCAGTTCTCCTAGATACCCCCGATATGATGCAGTCAGTGCTCCTCCTAATCCAGCAGACTCATCCTCTTTAGGCAGCCTTGTTCGCCAGACGTCTCTCTTTTCGTCTTTGTGGGCCTACGCAACCCTTTATCTTTGCTTTTCCCATCTTCGCGGTCAGGAGCCTACGAGAGGGGCACCGAAATGGACGACGTCTGGTGACAATATTCGTAGCAGCCTTGGTGAGCACTGCATGCGCTTGTCGGCCATATAGAAGGCTACCTACTGTCACCTCGACATCCCCCTTGTAGGATCTCGCCCGTTTCGTTCGATCTCATGCAGATTAAGACGACCCATATAAAACACCACCGGCCCTAGTCCACGTCACCCCCGGTCGCCCTATATTTGCACGCTACTCGATTGACTTTCCGCTCGATGGCGGCACACCATCCACATATTATCACCGCTTCGCCGGAAGTACTGCCTCTTCAGGAAGCCACCTCCTGAACAGGAACAAATCATACTGGTCGTTTCGGTCCGCCTCGCCCTCTTTCCTAGGCCATGCGCTAGATCCGGCCATCGGTATCAAAATATCACTTCTCGACCCTTTCGCTGGGTTGTTTCCTCTGTGTCTGCATGGGTTTGAGGCCAGGATCTGGAAGTACCCTTGAGGTATAGCAAAAGTTACAATTCCGTACCTCAGTGGCCATCATACGATAGGGGTTCATCGAGTCCATGGATGCAACACTGTTCTCACTATAGCGCAAGGGAATGCGGCAGATGGGCATGTTTGTTATCCTGATGGCAAGCGCTCACTGTTGTATCATATTTCGAAGAGAGGCATCGCCTGAGATGACTTCGGACCGATGGGCGGCAAACCGGGCAAGTCAGCGCCAACCGGACACCCTGGGAATTCATCTCGACTCGACCCATTCACGTTACTGCTGCCAGGAATGTCAGATCATGTTGGTGTTTGTCGCGCTCCCCCATACGCTGATCCCCATCGCCAATTGCCAGCGCGGCCACCTCACATGGTTTACAAGCCAATGCCACCACACCAACAATCTTGGGTCAGTATGCCGCCGGTACGCTGTTCGAATTATTGCACTTGACACATGCAGTCACCACCGATGCAGACCAAATTGTGGCCGTTGGGCTTCGGCTTTTCCCTTCTCCCCCAGCTGAGTCTCGCGTCTCGTTAACTTCTCATCGCTCACTGCTGGATGCGCTCTGGAGAGAGACATGGGACGTTTACCGTTGTCATCATCCTATCCATTAGTCTACTGTCGCATTCACGGCCGACCTCAAGTCGGCTTATCTCTGCGTAGTCTCAGGCCTTTCGGGTACCTTTTAACCATATGTCATCTGTCGCGAACCCGAGCCTCGCGTCTGTTTCCGGCTCGTCATGTGGCCGAGTTTCATGGGCCAGCAGCGGATGTACTGACCTCAGACTCTCGACCAAAGGATTGAAGGAGTCGGCGGCGGCGACAATACCGGCGAAAATGGCGACGCCCTGTTTATTATTCCAGGCCTGGTAGATTTGGGGCAACTCAACCAACCACATTCTGACCTCGCCATCCTACCAGCCTGTCATACTCCTCGTCAGTAATGAGCGGATTTGCATTCATCCATGACTCGATTGTACACTCATACAAGTATGAGTGTCGATAATGGTCACTTGACGATCTGCCGTGCCTGTAATCGACAACTGCTCATGCAACCATAAGCCGTGTGGTTGCGTCGAAGCCTAAAGATCCTGGACAGAAGATCGTACCCCCGTGTACTTGGGCACCGTGCTGCAGATGATTATCCTTGGACGGCCTGGCCGGCTTACTCCTGCTTACTGGGTGATCGTGAGCGATGCATATCTCCCGTGATAAAGCTGAATCACTCAGTCGATACAAACGACTGGCCAAATGCGATTAAAAGTCGGGGCCGGGATGGATCGTCAAGGAGATGGCGCATCGATTTGAACCTTCGACTACGTACAAGCAGTAGAATCAAGAGGTTCTAGCCGACAGGCATGACTTTCGCCATCATTACTGCAAACTCACCCACAGCACTCGCAGCCCACTGCTCCAGAACTTGACGCCTCTCCTGCTTCATAACTTCGTATGTCGACAACCCTAGAGCAAAGAATCAGGAGCGGCGCGTTCGCGTTGAACCGCTTACTGAATGCCGTGCATCAAATTCCCGCTCGCGATTCCCGGGATCTGGCTCTGATTTGCTAACTATGCTTGGCTCGTGGTGCGATCGTCTGATCTGGCGATCGGTCTGCCACGCAGGCTACACACCCGCTGTCATCTCGCATCACTACCTAGCGAACTCGCCACGATCAATGTTACTCACCCCTCATCCATGACGAATCGGAGGAGTTTGGAGGATCAGGGAGCTCGACCGGTGAGAGGTGCTGCATCGGCACTACCATCTAGACCACCCTTAGCCTTCGGGAGACCGTTACCAAACGCAGGAAGCATCGGCTCTCGTTGAAGTCAGAACGGCCGGGCTACTAACCTCTGAAGTGCGTGTATTGTCATGCCGGCTCCAGTTATCAACTGGTTCGGGGCACATCTCCAGTGACCAGCGTCTCGATGGTAGTGTCATATGCTGTAAAAGAAAGTGCCTAACGCCCGAAGAGGCCATCAACCCGCTCCCGGCCATGTGGTTCGCACTCGGAGCCCTCACGGTAGGAGGTTACAGTGGTTGGCGAGACAGGCAGCCCCATACTTGATCTCGTAGCCGAGACGTGGAAACAAGCCGAACGAGCTCATGGTCAATTGCCCATCCGTTGAAACAACCCCCCGCCGTAACCACGGGACTCTGGCACAGAAACGGTGTTATGCCCGGCTGTTGAGGCAGAGGCTACGCGCAAGAGGTCTGAATCGCAGGACGTTCGCACAACCAACATCTTCGAATGCGGGTTTCGTTGAGAGACGGCTCAGAATCCCTTTGCATTGGCGCCGACCATATCGCCACAGTGCGGGAACTATATCGGAGATGTTGCGGCCGAGAGGACACAGGTATGAGCTGTACGTTTCCAGCCCCTGTCTCTCGACCGATCTGAATCCCTCGATGCACTTTTTATCTGGATAACGCTACGTTGTCTGCAGTGGTTTCACCGTCTGACCTGCTTAGGGGTATTGCATCTTTTCCTCACTAAACTTTACCATAATCAACATTAGCCGGACATGGTGAACACCACGCAACCCGTCATTCAACCTTACATAGCCAAGCCCTTTCCAACACGATGCAGTCAGGGTTGGTAAGACTGTAACCGTGGTCTCAAAATCTAACTTGTTGGCAGCAGCTTTTGGGACTGACGGCATTACGGGTGCTCAGGCCGAAAGAGCATTACTCCGTCGAGACTCCTGAGCTAGGGGTGTCGCTTGCCCGCTTTGACTAACAAGAACATGGACGTTGGTTCCGCGTTCACCTGTCATTTCTCAAATCTTAGGTCGGCTCTCCTCCTTGCAACTTTGACTGGCTGGACCGACGGCAAATCAACCAGGAAATAACATCTTCATCTCGTTAACCCTAACCACATGCATCCTCGGGCAGACTTTGTGCTTTGTCTGGGGTACTCTGACATAAGTCACACGACCACAAAAAGAGCGAGGGCTATTTCCTGTTATATCCCAACAATGGTGGGTTTATCTCTACATCGTATCATTGCTGAGGCCCCCATATACCCCTGTCTGACTCCTTGACTGCTGCTTAGAACGTTCCAACAGCCAGCAACGAAAACCGAGAACCAGACTTGGCTGTTGTGCCAATCGCCATTGAGGAAATGCTATATTGTGCCCGCTCCAACTTGCTGGTTGAGGTTGGGCCCGCGCGTCGTGTCAGCCCGCAGAAGCGGACTGAGCATGCCGGTGGCGGAACTCGCTCGGTACGGTGCTGAATGCTCCCCGGGACGCTTACTCTAGAATCTGCGTTTGCCAGTTCAATTTGCTACAATGTCGAGCTGCCGGGCTGGAGATTGCCAGCTGTTACAATGAGACGCCGACTCCATGGATAGGGAGGGACTGGGAATGGTCTGGATACCAATCTCATCAAATTATCTAGACGAGACGAACTTGACATCAGTATCAAGCATAGTTCCCGCTGTTCAGCCTTACAGTGTTGGGCCAGTCGGCAAACGTAGGCAACTCAAAGTGGAAGGATGTCTGTTTGCTTGCTTTTTCATCTATGCTTAGCCTCTCTAGATCGACGAAGCTGCGCCGTCGTATGATCACGGGAAGTAGGTCTTTCATTGGGAGGTTTACGGTGCGTGTTGTGGCTGCTGTGCCCTCATCAAAGCCTTGAAGACGACGGGATTTGGTTCAAACACCGGGTCTTGTCGCCAGGGCCACAACTGGTATAATGTTGCTGATCAAAACGACCTAAGCTGGCCGCCCTTAAATCGCCCCGAGATCTCGGTAATACTTCGCCAGATATCCATTCTTCACAATCGCCACCAGGGAACATGTCGGCGGCATATCAGCCGAACGCTATTGTTTGAGATCGATATTGCAGCACGCAATATTGTCGGCAAAGAATCAGACAGGGCATTTCCATATTCCGCGCGAGGATTTCTTTTTGGTCCCCGTCGACTTTGTGTGAGTGGGCTGAGACACTGCACAAGTACTGCCAATGACCTGTCAGAATATGTCTCATGCAGGTCCCTTTCTTTCGTTTCTTTTTCCTTGAACCTGAATCACACTCGCCCGCGAGCCAAACCACTCTAGCTAGGAACCTTACCCTTTGACTTGGGCAAACCCTGTGGAATGCCAGTAGGAAACGAACCAAGAGCGCTTTTCCTCTTGAGGTGTGGGCGCCAGGCAGTTTTGGGCGGTCCTACGAGACACTATTGAATGTTTTCCCTCTCGTAACGCCTATCCCCCACGTTCACCGAGGTTCTTTTCCGTGTCACGGACCCTCTCTCTGTTGACGCCTCACTCAAGACGTTTTTCTTGCATCCCCGTTTTCACATTGTACCTTCATTGGCATCCCCCTTTTGAGCGATCCAAGTGGCGCTCCTTCTACTATTCCCCTTAAGGATCAGACTGGGCTTGCCGGTGAACTGGGGTCGTGGCCTCGAACGCAATACCCAGCACGGCCGTGCATCAAGCGCGTTCTGGCAATGGCGATCTTATGCCGAGCCTTTAAGCAAGCATTCTCACCTCTCTCCAATGGGAGCCTTCGGGAAGTTTGGAGTTTCAACCATGGGCCGGCGATGAAGTCAGTTGTATCTTGCATATCATCTTCGTTCTGCCGTCCCCACCATACCTTAATCCCTTCCCCCCGAGACCTGAACCTTGACTCATCCCTCATCTTGGGGGACCGTCCTCTCTCGTGAAAGCAGGAACGGGCCCTGCCGGTATTGAAACATCGGCCGAGTCTCTCTTTCGAGTAATACACGGCAGTTGGCTCAGTTCAGTACGAGTACGAGCCGATCGGACTTTTCATTTGCCGCTTGGCAGCGCATGTCGGGCAGTTCCGGTCGGGCGCTATTGGCAACCATGCCGCGGTGGGCGGTTGTCTGATACTGTTGCATCTGACGGGGCCGGTAAGGCTTGCTGCGACCTGTCCTCGTCCCGTCAGCCTCATGTGCTGAAAATCACAGGCTCCAGCGCGTGACGGGCACTAGCCGGGGTGATTTGGTGACATCGTCTGGACTGCAAATGCTAAAGAATTCACGATATCGTCCGATTCCCAGCGTTGCCATCCCCGCTGGTTGGCAAGTTTTCACGTTGGGCAAAGGGTGCGTTTTGCCTCGACTCACCCGCAGCCGAAGCCCATAGGGCCCCAGAGAACCAGTTCATGTCATATACGGCAGGCTCGTAATGCTCAGTTGCAAAGACAGCGAGCGAATGAGCGGGCGGGCGAACGGCGGCGCAGGCTCCGGAGCATCACTCACTCGCTGCACGGCAGATGTTAAGGGCTTGATGGATTACGTCTTTCTTTTAGTGTCTCTCGGGGGACGAGGGAAGAGGGACGTTCCTGCGGTGTACGTGTCGGGCATGTATCGCGACGCACACGCCCCTCTTCCGAATCCACTTCTTGACCGGTCGGTGGTCTCGTCCGATGGCGGGTGTCGTGGGGGAGAGGGCACTGCGCGACTTGAGCCCCGGAGGAGAGGCTTCCCTCCGCCGGCGTGCGCCCGCCCAATCGCAACATATACGGACCCGAACGCCGCATCAGCTTCAGGGGAGGCAGAACCTCTGGGCCGCAGGCAGCGAGCGAGCAGCAGCGGTGGCGGGCGCGGATCATGGCCACTAGAGGCAAAGGGAGCGAGCGATTGATGAGAGCATGGGGACCTTGGACGGGGGGCCTTGGAGGGGGATTTTCCCGCGTCGAATCTTGCGCATCAATGCATCCGCGAGATGCGGAACCCGGCCGGGCTCTTGGGAGGACGCGGCGGCCAGGAAGCAGGAGCAAAGGTGTCATTGGGTGGTGTGTCAGCGCCATGGCGGCGGGTTGGGCAAGGCGGTCAGATCCTTTCTCATCATCTTCGATCCCCACCCCGGTAGTCGCCTCCGTCAGGGATTGCGGCACGCGCATCTGGGTTTCCCCCCATCTCAATATCTATCCCGCGAGATTCACGATTGCAGGTGCCGATACAGAGATGTACACATTAGCTGGAACTGTTGAGACAAGGAGGAACCCTAGTGGTTTTTTGTGTGTGCGTGTGCATGTGCGCTGTCGCCCGCAACGAACATCTTTCCTGATCCGGAGACGGAGACGTTGGAGAAGAGATCCTTTGCAGTTGAGATGTTGCGCCCCCTTGGACGTCATCACCGCGCATTCCTACGAGGGGGGGATTCAAGGTGTTTCTCGGGATATTTTGGTTTTTGCGAGACACTTTTGACGGTTTGCTTGCCCTTTTCGGAAAGTTGATTCGTACACTCTTTTTGTTTTCTTTTCTTCTGCCCCTTCGGGGAGTTTTTTATTTGGGGGTTGAAAGGGAACGGGGGGGGGGGGAAGGGGCGCGCGGGAGTTGAGAAAAAGAGAGATAGAGAAAGAGAGAGAAGTTGCTTTTTTGATTTCACTGGTTGCGTGTGTGCGTCACCGGGCCATCTACCTATTCGTACAGTGGCTACCCGTGTTTCCTGTGTCTTAGTCAAGTTTGATAGGCAAACCGTTCTGACGGCCGGGAGGAGGCGAGGTCGGCTCGTGCAGAGGTGCAGATGACATTTTGATATAGCCAGGACGGCGGGCGGCGGTGCAGACGATCAGGAAACCCTAACGAGGAGGGAGTTCGAGAGGGCGGGTTTCTGGGGGTGTGCTAGGCAGGAAGGCGGGACGGCCGGGGGGGGAGGCTGAGGAAGTCTCAGAGGCTGGTTTGCTCTGTTTTTGATATCATCTCTCGCGCTGCGGTTGCGATTCTGTCTGTTTTTTGTTTTATTTTTTCCTCTCCTTCGTTTGGTACGCCGTGTTTGATGTCAAGCTATGTTGGATGGTGTAGGTAGAGGGATGGGTTGCGTCGATCGTGAGATCCTTGCTGAAAGGGATGAGCATCGGAGGGGGGGGGGGAGGATGGGGAGGGCGTGTGCTTGAGTACCCTTTGTGGGATGTTCTCTGTTTGGTTCGATGGGCGCGGATGTGGGTATCGCAGCTGTAGGGTTTGCTTTTTCTTCCCTCTGGTTTCTGGTACTGCCCGCTGTAGGAGTTGAGGGCCCGAGTGAAATGGGAAAGCTGTGCGGTGGGAATGCGGTGTGGATTGGCTCGACGCTCGACGTATATTGCTTTTTTTGACGGTCCGGGTATAGAGGCCGCTGCGGGAGGACGGTAGGCAGATGCGAGGATGTGGAGGACGACGAGAATTCCAACAGGGCGTTTGCGTTGCGGCACCCTGTGTTTCCGTGAGTTCTCCTACTTGCTGGGCTATGCTCTTTTTTGAGGCGTATGTCGCTGAGCCTCGTGCTTTGTGGGGGACACGAAGCCGTGATGAGAGGATTTCTGGATGAGACTTCTGGGTCAAAACGTATTAGACCAGCACCATCCCGGTAGCACCTGTCTCTCTCTTTCGCCATCTCGTTCGCGCTCTTTATTTCTCCTCCCTACTCCCACCCCAGCTTGAAAACTCACCCACGCCTACCCTGCTCGACAAGCATGTGGTTGCTTTATCGTAGATGCAATGCAATGCGCGACAGCGGACGGATAGGAATGGACCCTCGCCCGGCGAGAGTAAAGGGGGGGGCGTGGGCGGCCCGGGGCCGATGCGGTCGATGACGACTCGGTGTGAGACTTGCAGGTTGAGAGGGGACCACGGGGGCCGGGGCGAGGCGGTCCGGGGGGGAGAGACAGATGCGGACAGCTGTCGCTCATGGAACAGCAGCCGAACGGGCGTTGTGCGCGCTTGTTAGATTCCTGCGGTGTTTGCCCGTCGACGGAGGTCTAGGGCGTAAGGAAGGGGGTCGGGAGCGAGATCACGGGATCAGGGCCTAGTGCATGTAGGCAAACTAGTCTGGAGGGCTCGACGGCGTGGCAACCTGCGCCCGCCGGTCGTTGGACGGTTGTGCCGGGAGGTCGGCGCCCCGGCTTGGCTCCTTTGGGGATCTCGGTCTGGGCCCTTGATGGTCTCGCATACCGACTGCCGGGCATTTTCTCATATGTGGCAGTCACAGATGGGGAGGCTATGCCTCTTCCGGGTGGGGAGGTGATCTGTCTGGTATGTTGTTCCTGGGAGGGGGAAGGGAGGGGGGGGGGGGTTTAATGGGGCTAGGAGAGGGAAAGGGAAGGGAAGGCGAGATCGACGGGCTGGCGTTGACGTAGGGTTGGGGGAACGGGGTTCGATGGCACTTTCTTGCTTTTTCTCAACTCTTTATCGTTTCTCCCCTGTGACGGAATGGATAAGATGGTTGGGTTGAGATGGGGTAAGTCGGGGTGTGTGTGAATCTGAAGATGCGTTTTGAAGATGGAGATCTTGTCAAAGATCGGGCTAGCCGCTCGCTGGTGCTGTTTCTCGGGTTGGTTGCACGCAATGTGGTCTCCCATACAAGCCCTTGAACATATCTTGATGGCCCCCCTTTGAGTGGGGGGCTCTGATTTCCCATCGCGGCATGGATAGCGACAAACGTCACTCTCTTTTGGCCATCAAAAATGTCCGCACAAGGGGACCTTGGGATGGACTGTAATTTCATCGATGTAGGATAGGGCTGAAGCGACATTTGAGCTGTTGAAACGTTGTTGTCGCCCAGCCTTAGTCTTTTTCCTCCGAGGGGTTAGCCTCTCACTAGTTCGTCTTTTGGGCCCAAGACATGCTTGGGAGTGAGGCTGGCTGCTTGTGCTACGTGGGCGAATGCCGGGAACCAGCTGTGGAAGGACTCAAGGATTGTGGCTCCAAGACTCGTAAGTTGAAAGGGAGGACCTATCCAAGCTGAGGCGCTGAGGCGTTGCGGAGGCGCTCTGGGGTTGAGTTCTAGAATTTCGTTGAGAAGGTCAAGCTAGGAATCGACTGGCGTCGTTTGGACGGCATGGCTTGTGAGAATGCGAGCAATGGAAGCCTGTGTGACATGGAGACCGGCTAGCGACGGTTGTTGCGGGCCATGAAAAGGGGGTGTGGCGGATCAAGGGTTGAAGATATGCTCGGTAATTGGAAAGCTGATTGACTCAGCTTTGATTGCCCTCCATTAACAGTCTAGACATCTGCTAACTGTTTGGGACGAGCCTTCCCTTTTGCTGAGAAGGGCCGAGGATACGAGGGTTGAGCCGTCGCCGTGGCCCCTTATCCTCCACGTTGTCTTTCGAAAAGCCAAGATCGGTCGATGGACTTCTTGCTAGATTGTGTGCTGGGGCTTGTCACATTCGTGTCTTCGCTATGTCCTTGGGTGTCGGAAGTGCACAGAAAAGAAGAAGAGAGAGACGAGATCGTCTGTGAAGCTATGCTCGTACTACAACGTGTACCGTAACCTTTGTACACTGGATGATGCAAGGAAAAGCCAAGCCCACTCAGCTCAATAATTAGAGACTAGTTGGTGTCGTTGCGGTAGTGTAGTGGAGGCCATCAATATAGTCAACTCGCTTTGAAAGTTTCTGGATCTCATAGTTGCTATGTCTTCAAAGCAAAAGGTCATGATACAGATTCAGCACGTCAAGGATTCCAGCTCAAATGTTGATTGCGTATAGCGGTAGAACACACGGCACACGGTCATTTCCAAGGAACAGTACAAGCATAACGACAAGACATATGGAATGGAACGAAAAGAATGAATAAATGAGAGCCGTTGAGGTTCCTTGTCTCACTCAACCTCTTTCCACTTTGCCGTCAGTTGAAAAATCATCATCCAAGTACTCGTGCTGTTGGACTGACTCATGCCCGACTGCATCTGGTTCCGGAACGCAGCGCTCGTAGCCCCCTCCTCCGTTGCGTGCCAACCTAGAGTGCTGTTGCCGTGCTCGTACCCGTCCGTCGTCCCGGACACGACCCTCATGCCCTCGATGCCCTGGTACGTGACGCTCATGAAGCCGGCGTGCATGGCGTTCATCATCTGGAGCTCTTGCATCTGGCGGAGCATCTGGACCTGGAGCACCGTCTCCACGTAGACGCCGTGACGGAGTCTCGAGAACTCTACCAGCTCGTGGGCGTCGCCTTTCTCGCAGGCTTCGGACCATTTTTGCCGCATGCGAGGAGAGTACATGCAACACATCCTTCTGTCGGCAACCAGTTGGTTGTTGTAATCCATCTGGACCCCAGGGTCTGGTGCTGACTCCTTGCAGAACGTGATGTAGCACTCTGGACAGATCGTGCAGTCGTCCCAGCCGTACCACTTGCGATTCTCGACTTGTGTTTCTCGAGAACAGTCCGGCACTCCGTCGAACTTGCGGACGAAGCCCGCGTACCGAGACCAGACGCCCGTCTCGACGGCCTCTTGCATCCGATGCATATGTTGGAACCATCGAGGAGCTGAACGCTGGAAACTGCAGAGAAGGGCTTGCGTATTATCCTGCCCCTCAACCCTCTGATAGAACCGGTCTAGCTGCCATGTTTCCACGTAACCTGCGTAACAAGCGGCACAGAGGATGTAACTATCACACCCTCCATCCCTCAATGTGTACCAGACTCCGCCAACGATGCCCTTTTCCGTGCAATGAGGGCTCGGCATAATGGTTTCAAACGCCTTGTAGAGCACTCCGATCTCTTTCTGGCTCTTGGCAGCTGCAATCGTGACTTGTACTGAGAGATTCGTCGCGCTGCAGAGCCAAGGGCTGGGTTCCACCGTTCGATACCCAAGAGCCACATCCATCCAGTCCAGTCCCGTGACACTGGGCTCTTGGGGATACAACTCAAAGTGCTCACTTATGGATGTAAGAGCCAAAGTCTCCTCGTAGCATTTCTCGCACATCTTCATCTCTGGGAACCTTTCTTCGCGTAGTTGCATCCACTGTCTCGAAGTGGGCGAAACTGGTTGCTTCTCGCACTTGGGGAGATTGATATGCTTGACTGCGGCCTGGACCCATTCTTCCCAGGCGTTTCCAGTCTTCTTGGAGTATTTGATCAACGATCGAGCAATGAAGGGTAGGCAGATGTCACAAGCCCAGGTGGCATCAAGGGGCTGAGCTGTGTCGTAGGCGATGAAGTGTTGTCGGAAAGGCGTCGCCAGAACAATGTCCTCGTAGCAGGCTTCGCAGGAAATGAAGCCTTCGAGCCGATCGTCGAGTAGCTTGAACCATTTGATTCCAGCACCGCCTTGAGAGCCTTGTTGACCCTTGCAGTCTAGAACAGTCATACGGGCTGACGTGAACTCCCGGATAGGCGCGTCGTCATTGTGCTTTATATACTCAGGAAGCAGACTCCTGGTAACTCGTGGCACGTTGAAGCGACATCGCCCGACAGCTCGTCGGACGCGCTCCAGGGAAGCAGCGAAAGGCGTCCCAGACAGGTACATCTCGTGGCAGCGAGTGCAGATGAGGAAATCGGGAACGCTAGCCAAGTGGTACCACTCGGCCTCGTAGTCGAGCTCTCGCTGTTCTGGGCATTCCCAGATAGTGGTGTTTGACTTCCCATCGTCGGTGACGGGGGGGATGGGTCGTTTCCACTCGTGGAAGTCTTCATCCTCGGGACCTGAAGGCGCGCTCTTCGACGAAGCCGGGGCCTGTATGTTCAGGCTGCCAAGTCCATCGGAGATTTGCTCTATCGCTTGTGCTGTGACACCCTGTTGAGAGACACGGGCAGGATCGCTGGGGGTTGAGAGTTGAGGTGGCGCCAAGTCTTGATGAGTGTTATCGGCCCCAGCCTGGAGAGCTGATGGCTGCACCGTGTTCACCAGGCAAGACGCAGAGGACGTGTAATGTTTAGCCTCATTTCCGGAGGGTTCATCGGCGTAAGCGTTCACGGGAGGCTGAGGAGGTGGTGGGTAATGACCTGGCTCAGGTACTGTCAACGATGGAGCTTGAGTATTCAACGGCTGATGGACTGGGATGTCAGAAGTTCTTGGTAGATTTTGCGCTGTCTCCGATGGGCGACTCATTGCTTCCTGAGTCTGGGATAGGTGAGGTAAATGGTTAAGTGGTAACGGGTATGTCGTCAATGGTGGAGTAGGTGGTGCCAAAGACACAGTCGATGCCCCCTGTTGCAAAGAACCAGTAATGGGACTCTGCCCGTGCTGAATTGTCGGCCTCACTAGAGACATGGCAGGATAGTGGTCTAAAGCGGCATCATGTGGCATAGTGACTGGGGGATTGTACATCGGCTGTTGAGGCGCTGGCAGTTCTTGGTCTATTCTTGGCCCAGGACTGTACACTGAGGGATTCGCAAGGCTTTGTTCGTGAACCGGAGTGGTGTATTGCTGGAGAAGTTGACTAGCTGGTGGTGACACTGTTGCTGATGGGGTGAGAACGGGACTCCCATATTGGTACTGGCTTGTATTATGGTAATGACCAAGAGGATTGTTAACACTGCTGACTGGTGAAGCCATAGGTGAAGAAGCGTAACCTGGGCTTTGATTCTGGGCATGTTGGGCGTGTTGATGATCAGGTCGGGGCTGAAACGCTGGCTGAGCAAGATACTGAGTGAATTTTGCTCTGGCCTTGCTCTTGATGTCTTGATAAGAGCCGAGGACTTTCTGGGTGTTTGCGAACAGGGATGAGGTGTGTTGCAAGGTGGTTGACAAGCTAGGAATGTGTCCACTGGTAGATGGCGAGCTCTGATGGGGGTACGTCGATGGAGTTGAAGCCGCAGTCGGATATTGATGGCTGGCAGAGAGATGCGTATTCGAATATGCGTTGTTTGACGGAGTTACTGGCTGATACGTGTGCTGGGGATGAGGATGCTGATAAGGTGATGAAGATTGAGGGTGCTGGTAAGTACCAGGCGCCGGCGCGAAGTGGTTACTAGGCTGGTATCCGGGGAAAGAGGGTTGAGAATATTGAACAGGGTGATATTGTCCATTGGTATTCAAGGGAGACGGGTCAGTAGGAGCTGAACCTGGCGGGCGTGGTGGTAGCGGTGGAGGAAGCCCAACTTGACCCGGGGGCGGGGGAAAGTACGGTACGTTCTGTTTTGTATCCATGATGGCTTCAACTTTCGATTCCTGGAGTCAAAATTCGCAAAGGTACAGGAAGGATTGAACAGCTCGGTGCGATATAGAAAGAAATTGTGTCCAGAGGTGCAGACATTCCTTACCACTTTTCAGCCGCAGCGGGTGGTCTCGGCGTGAAATTATGCCGTCCTGACTGCTGGCTTTATGAGGAGCTGAAAAGACTCGCAGTCCGTTTCTGGATGTCAGTGGTGCCACGTGAAGTATTGCAGGTTTAGCGCCACGGGATGCCTTGCCTCACCAAGCCACAGCAATGTATCTCATTCAAAATGGTAAGCGAGGCACTCACACTACATGCGTCAGTGACATATCTAAATGGCATTGCCACGAAGCCAAAGCAGCTTCACGATGGACACGGCTGCTACGGACTTCCAGCCAGCCAGCCGGTGGGCAGCGCGAAAGAATCTATTGTTTGCCAGTTCGCGAAGCCATCGGGCCACAAAAGTTGACATTTTACATGACGCCTTTAGGCGACCTGCGACTCTGCGCATGCCGGGCTGGATCGTATAAGTCGACCAAGGCGTATATAACCTTCATAGGACTAGGGTGTTCAAGATCAGGTATTAGAAACCGAATAGCGAGAGAGAACCTGATTGGTACGTGATAAAGCCTCAACAAGCCTGTCAAATTTATGGGTGTTCTGAGTAATAGCTGTGGATTGCTACTTCTGACCATACCCTGATTACCACACGCTCAGAATATCACTCTGGCAATTTCTACGAGCATTGATTAATGGTGTGATTCTCTCTTCTGTTCGGAGTATAGTACAGACTTCCAGAGAAGGATGCGAAAAAGGAGAAAATAAAGACAAACACAGCCATGGGGGCTATAAGCCAAGTCAGCCGACCCAAACCGAATCCCCAAGTGAACCCTTCCCATTCCTAGTCTGAAAGAAACGTAAGTCCCCTTCCTTTGACTGCGGCTTCTTTCGCCTCCCGATCGTTGGTTTTGATAACTCCCCAAGCCTTTGAATATTCAGACGGTGAAGAAAAGCCACAGAAGCGTTGTAAACTCCCCGTCGTATGTTCTTTTGAACCATATGGCTGGCTTCATCAAAGGTCTAGTGTAAAGCCGTTTTCGTACAACCGTCGTACCTCAACGCGAGTAAGGGTGGAAACCGCGGTTCCCGCTTCGGCCGCCGCCACGGTAGTTAGCACCGGGTCTGCCCGCGTTCTTCGGTCCTGTAGGAGCGTTGGCAGGCGGAGCGTGTGCGGGATCCGGCGATCCCTGATGAGAGCCACCGCTGTGGGAACCGCCGCGATGTCCGCCTCTGTAACCTCCTCGGCCACCCTGATTCAAATTGGGCTGAGGGACGTCGTCATACATGCCCTCCCAAGACGTCGGGGCGCCACCACCGCCACCCATGGCATAGGCACCACCTTGGTTGTACTGGTCGCGAGGGGCACCTCCACCGCCACCGCCCCCACCTCGTCGCGGGCCCTGACCAACTTGCTGCTGCGGCTGCTGCTGCTGCGGCTGACCCCCTTGAGACGGGTCGAACATCTGCTGCTGCGGGCTGAAGCTACCGCTGGGTCCAGTTGGGGGACCGCCCTGTTGTCCCATTTGCTGCTGCATTTGCTGCTGCATTTGTTGCATCTGCTGCATCATCTGAGGCGTCATTTGGCCCATCATGCCCTGCTGGCCGTTGCCGCCTCCTCCGCCGCGGCCCATCATCTGACTTTGCATCTGCTGCATTTGTTGCATCTGCATCATCTGTTGCATCATAGCAGGGTTCATGGGGCCCATGCCACGGCTCATAGCCATCTGCTGCTGCATCATGGCAAAGTACTGTTGCATCCGCTGGAAATACTGAGCCATGACCTGCGGCGTCATACCACCGGTAGCAGCCATCTGGCTACCTCCCATACCGCCTTGGCCATTCTGAGCATTATCTTCGCCCTTCCTGAACTTGCCGCTCCGTCGGGCAGCTTCTTCTTCTTCTCTGAGATTGCCACGTGGCTGGGCCTTCTTGACTTCAATCGGCTTGCCGTGAATTTCCAGACTGGTGCTCAAGCATGCCTCAACACCGGCTTCGCTCTCGAATGTAACGAAACCGAACCCACGAGGACGACCGGTATCCTTGTCCATCATCAAAGTGGCGTCAACAACACGCCCAAATTGAGCAAAGTAGTCCTTGAATTCTTGGTCAGTGGTCTCCTGGCTGACACCGCCGACGAAGATCTTGCTGGTCTTTTCCTGCTCATCCCGAGGAATCGCACGCTTGGGATCGATCTGAATTCCATTAGCAATGCGCAATCTTGCAGACTCTTGAACAACATACAATTTTGCCATCTAAAAAGTGTTCCTTGACCATAACAATGTTGACTGTCTTCGGGTCTCTGAATGTCAAAAAGCCGAAGCCCCTTGACCGGCCCGTGCTGCTATCTCTCATGACAGTGCACTCGACGACCTCTCCAAATTGGGTGAAGTAGTCTCGCAGGGATTCTGCTGGACTATTAGCAAACGGCAAGATACCAACGCACGCGGATGACTTACGATCCGTAGTCTCCCAGTTGAGACCGCCAATAAACATTTTCCTACGGGCAAACATCAGCAAACCAACTAGAGACCTCAAAACTCAGTGCAATTGATGTGGGCTCATGCTGTGGGCATAAAGGGGGACGACGTTTGCGAATGGGGATAAAAACTTGGTGCGGATAGTAGGTCTGCGGCAGACAATGAGAGTGGGCCATCCTTCGGTGAAGACTTGGCTTGTACTTTCGTTTCAACAAGTGGCAGGTCCGTATTTTGGTTGGGGTTTCCTCCTCTTGGCATAGCGGGCTGATTTGTTGGCAATAGTTCGAGATTGCTTGTTTTGAGGGTGATGGCTTGATCGGATTTCGTCATGTCATGCCTCGTCCAGAAACTTGTCCACCATATTGGCGCTGACAATGGATTTAGACACCATTTTGTTCGATAAGCCATCAATGCGGCGCATGCCGGTGGGATCCCATCGACATCAACCCCCGGCGCGAGATTTGAATATTTCGGACTCTAGCAGGAGCCACAGCGATTGTTGATGACGAGTAGCACCAGCCAGCCACAGAAACTCTCTCACGTCTGGGGAGAATTGCGGAGCGGATAGCCTGGTCATTGTCGAATGTTTGGTGTCTTTTGCTATCGTCAAGTCTCTGCTAGCTCTAGCTTCGAGCGCTATCCGCTGCTAATCTCGCTACAGCAGCCGAAGAACGCAGATGGTTCTCTGTGCGGCTGGGGCTATAGAAGGCGCACGAGGGTGCCCCTGATCTGACTGACTGACTGATGACTGACTATCGTCGGCATATCTCGGTGATCTCAGGCTGCTATTCCAGCTGACTTTTTTGTGACCTCTTTCTGGCTTCTCTTTCTGCTTTGTCTTTGCTTCAGGCTTCTCTTGACTTCTGGTTCTTTTATCCTCGGCCTGCTGGATGGCCCTGAATAATGATTCCAACGATGGTAGTCGACATCAGGTGTTGCCCACTCTAGTCCTTCCAAGTCCCTAAGACCGAGCAGGCCTAATTCGAGATTCCATGGAGCCACTGAACGCCCGAGTTCCCTCAGACCGCAGTAGAGGAGCTGCGGATTAATCACACTAGGCCATGCAACCCAACTTTGGGCGCATGGAATTTTGGGGCATAACAAATACAAACATCATGCTTCGATCAAACATCCACTTACCCGTCTTCCTTGGCACTAGGATTCTTTGCTGTGCTTGTCGAGTATGTAGGTTCCTCGTGCTTCATGTTGCCGACGCCATTCGAGGCAGGAGCATAGCTGCTGCCACCACCGCCACCGCCACCGCCGCCCGCGCTATCACCTCCAAGGTTGAAGTCCACATCATCATCGTCGTCCTCTTCGTACTTCATCTGGTCGTCACCGCCTCCGTAGTCCGGTTCGGGCTGAGCAGGTGGCTCAGCATGTGTCTCGATGCTCTGCTGTGGAACAGAGGCGGGTGCGGGCGGAGGAGCGGGCGCGGTTTCCTGGGCAGCTTGGGGCTTCGCTGGGGTGTCATCGTCGTAACTGTGGCACGTATCAGTGTCGTGGTCAGAAATCGCAGGCAGCGACTGTTGTCACTCACAGATCGGCAAACAGATCCTCCTCGAAATTCTCGGGCTCAGTCATTTTGTCGGTAGTTGACTGTTGTTGATGGACGTCGCGCTGCAGGTGAAGGATGCGAAGAAAAGAAATGAGGAAGTAAAGAACGTGATGATGTTGCGGAGAAGAAACGGGGGCAATGTCGTCGTGTAGCAGCGATTGTTTGGATATTTCTTGGGCGGCGTGGGTGAAAGAGGAGGAAGGTGGAGCTAAGGCAGGAAGCGGAGCCAATGGGGGCGCTCAATCCAATCAGAGCTGCAAAGGCTGGGGACAGGCCCGAGCAGTGGCTTCTCCCTCCTGCGAACTTGGACACAGTCACACAGACTCCAGAGCTGCGCCTGAGCTTCTCACGTGACCGGATATCGGGCTGTTTTGGTCTTGGAGTGTTTTGTTCCCTGGTGACTCTGGTCATGTAAGGTAGCGGAACATTCGAGTCCTGCCGTTGGAATCACTGAAGAATTCCCTTGTGAAACTTTGACATCGTATCAAGGCCTTTTCTTCCTGGTTGGTTTTCAACTTCGAGGTTCTCCAACAGGCTGAACATAGCATCAGCACTAAATTCGGAAGTGCACCTTGGCCGCCACAACCACCCGCACGAAACCCAAAGTTCAGCCACAGTGACCTTCTCCTCCCCCACTCCACTTCTACTGCTGCTCAAAGCGGCGGGCAGTACACTAATGTGAAGCAAGGGCCCGGCCACTGGTCACTTGCTCGGAGCTCAGGCGACTCGTCTGGCGCATCTCAACTCCAAAGACACACGATGACCCGGTCTCAATAGAGAAGCATCACCATGTTCTCCTCTTCAGGGAGTGGGAAGAAGCCCTCGCAACAGGTATATCCCTCCAAACCCTTGTCTCAGGCCTCCATTACATGCTAAACTTGCCCCGCAGCAGGAGATGGTCCAAGTCGGTGGGTTTCGTCATACCTTTACTCCTCGAGATGCGCGCTGCCGCTGCAGAGGCTTGGATCTCGAATAGAGGCTCATAAACTATTGGCTAACTTGAATTGTTGCTCGCGGCGCAGACCGCTCAGAGTACGTTGACTTGCCAGCATCGCAGTTGCAGTTCGGAACTGACTTGGGGTAGTTCTGCATCACCGTTTTGGAAACCGCCCCCACGCGAGAACGCCCCGAAAAGAACAGGTCGCGACCCGAATTTGGTTGTCGGAGCGGCCTATTCACATGCCGACATTCTCAAATTCGACTCGTTGTGCGATTCTCTTGTGTCCTCGAGCTGAGACAGCCCCAGCTAACTTAAGCCTAGGAACCTTTCCAACTCCTCGTCTAGACCGAAAACTCCTCCGTCCTCCCACTCTACCAAAGGCAGGCCCAGCGATGCTTCCCCTCCGTCGCGGCCCCAATCAGGCATGTCGTCGCCTCCGATAAAGAGTTACATAAACTTCCTGTCCAATACGAACGATGACTGGAAAGCGGACGAAGATGAGGAGGACATGATGGGATACGAGGACGATGATGGCGATGACTTCGGCCTGCCTAGCCTGTCTAACATGAAGAGGCGAACGCGCAAGATGGCCGCGCAAAGTAGGCCGGACCCAAATGGGGGCCTCTCGCCAATGACCGACTCGTTCGGTGGACTGGGGTTGCACACCAGGAGATACTCGAATAGCGCGGATATCGCTATTGAAAGACCTGCACCAACCTATCCGATGCCGAAAAAGAGCGAAGGAAAGATATTGCGACCACAGTATAAGGAGATACTGAGGGGTGAGTGCGCCTACATGATGCAATACTGGACCGTACTGATCACGATAGATCCGGCAAATGCTTTGCATCTAATCGATCACCCCGCCATACCCGCCAATGCGACGCCGAAAGAGATTGACGCCGCTAACTCCAGAATAACTCGCATAAACAAGTTCAAAAAGCTTCTTCAGGCTTCGACAATCCCTCTACAGGAGCTTCGACAGCTCGCTTGGTCCGGCGTTCCCCAGGAGGTTCGCGCCATGACGTGGCAACTCCTCTTAAGCTATCTCCCAACAAATAGCGAAAGGAGAGTTGCGACTCTAGAAAGGAAACGGAAAGAGTACCTTGACGGAGTGCGGCAGGCTTTCGAGCGCGGCGGCAGTATCTCCGGAGCCAGCGGTAGCTCAAGCACTGCGCCACCAGGAAAAGCCAGAGGCTTGGATGAGGCGATCTGGCATCAGATCAGCATCGACGTTCCAAGGACAAATCCTCACATTGAGCTTTATTCATATGAGGCGACTCAGCGGTCCTTGGAGCGAATCTTGTACCTTTGGGCTGTGCGACACCCAGCCAGTGGGTATGTGCAGGGCATCAACGACCTCGTGACGCCTTTCTGGCAAGTCTTCTTAAGCACCTACATCGCCGACGCCGACATAGAATCTGGCATGGATCCTGGCCAGCTGCCGAAGCCGGTGCTAGATGCTGTGGAGGCAGACTCGTTTTGGTGTTTGACAAAGCTTCTTGACGGCATCCAGGACCACTACATTGTGGCCCAACCTGGCATCCAGAGACAAGTCGCTGCCCTCCGTGACCTCACGGCGCGGATTGATGCTGGGCTGGCGAAGCATTTGGAAAAAGAGCATGTGGAGTTCATCCAGTTCAGCTTTCGGTGGATGAACTGTCTTTTGATGCGGGAGATAAGTGTACGAAATACAATCAGGATGTGGGATACATACTTGGTAAGTGCAGCGGCTCACATTGAACAGCAGTTTGCTGACTATCTACAGGCTGAGGAGCAAGGTTTCTCGGAGTTCCATCTATACGTTTGCGCGGCTTTCTTGGTCAAATGGTCTGATAAACTGGTAAAGATGGATTTCCAAGAAATAATGATGTTTTTGCAAAGCCTGCCTACGAAGTCATGGACGGAAAAGGATATTGAATTGCTGTTGAGCGAGGCTTTCATTTGGCAAAGTCTCTTCAAGGGGTCATCGGCGCATTTGAGAGGACAACCAAGCCGTACACCCTCAGCAAACATGCAGTTGTAGAGCCTTTTCGTTGGACTATTTCAGAGGCCCAAGCTGCAAAAGGATTCATTGATGAAAAGATGAGAAGCAGAGAAGCGGAAACGGAATTCAAGGCGTCCTAGACTTGTCTGGGCAAATATGTAATTAAGGCAGTAGCAGTGACACCCTACCAGCCTCCAAGAATTGATGGTATCAACATCATTGCACAGTGTTTAGCACAGTAATGAAGCTTTTTGCACACTTGCGTTTCTAATTGGGCCGTGCTCGTTTGACGTGCTGGAAAGCTATCCCTGCAGCTTCGTTCCCCAATCAACGCGCCTTCTTACAGCTCGCGCGTCCTGCCACAGACAAAGACAGCCGGTTCTTTTTCCTTCCATAGCTCATCCTTCTTTTTCATTCTTCGCCAGAGATTCTGATTTCCCATCCCTCCGACTATCATCACACGAACACAAATCAATTGCCCACGATGGCTGACACAACGGATCACGCTACGATCAGCGCAGAGGTTTCTATGGCCGAAGCCCCAGTTGTAGAGGCTGTCGCAAACCCAGAGACCAAGCAAGATGCGCCCGCGCTTACACAACAGGACACGCCAGCCACCGTCGGCGAGGAGTCGGAGGAAGACTCTAATTCCAAGAAGGTGACCCTGGCGGACTTGTGCGCCAAAGGTACTGCACTCTACGCTAAGAAGCAATACGAAGATGCGGCCGAATGCTTTACAAAGGCGGCTGAGCTGCAGGACGAAATCAACGGCGAGATGCACCCCAAGAACGCCGAGATCCTGTTCCTCTACGGTCGCAGTGTCTTCAAGGTTGGGCAGAGCAAGAGTGATGTCCTAGGAGGCAAGGCCAGCGGCGAGAAAAAGGTCGAGAAACCCAAAGCCAAGGCCCCCAAAAAGATCGTTCCGGAGGCTGCCCCGACGGATGCGCCAGCCGAGTCCGACGCGCAAAGAATAACAGAGGAGGGTGTTGCGATTGTCGCAAGCGAGGCGGGTGGTACGAAGACAGAAGACAAGGTTGAGGAGAAGAAGCCTCTCTTCCAGTTCACGGGCGACGAAAACTTCGATGACGAGTCGGATGACGAAGAGGTAAGCTAGAACCCTGCATTGGTCTCTGGCTGGAAACCTCTTGGCCTCTGGCGTCATTGGGCTATTCGTGATCATCCGATCGCAGAATTCGGACAGGCCAGACCCTAATGCATAGGAATGAGAGCTAACCATTTGCAAGGCTGAGGGCGAAGGCGAAGAGGAAGAGGAAGAGGAGGACGACCTTGCTGTCGCGTTTGGTGTTTTGGACATGGCACGCGTTCTCTACAGCCGTCAACTGGAGCAGCTGGAGAAGGAGGAGCCTAACGGCAAGGCTCAAGAGCAGGCCGATGGTGATAAGCTGAGCATCAAGCATGTCAAGGAGCGGCTCGCTGATACACATGATCTTCTTGCCGAGATCTCCTTGGAAAACGAGAGGCAAGCATGTCTGATTCCTGGCGATTGCGATGAAATCTAACAGTGGCATAGATATCCTGACGCCATTGAGGATTCGCGCAAGTCGCTGAAATACAAGAAAGACCTGTACACCGACGATTCCGAGATCATTGCCGAGGCGCACTTCAAGCTCTCATTGGCACTCGAGTTCGCCTCGGTCACGACTACTCAGGAGGAGGGTGAACAGGCGGAGAGCAAGCCCTTTGACGAGAAACTCCGCGAGGAGGCGGCGAATGAGCTCGAGGCTGCCATTCAAAGCACAAAACTGAAGCTCCAGAACAAGGAGGTTGAGCTCGCAACTATGGCATCCCCTGAGGACAACGAGATCACGAGGGCTACCATTACCGACGTCAAAGACATGATTGCGGATATGGAGCAGCGCGTAAGTGAAGACCCAACCCTCCGTTCGACAGAATCGCCGCTAACAACATGCAGCTCGTGGATCTCCGCAAGCCACCTATTGATGTCAATGCTGCGCTCGGTGGCGATGGTGTTGGTGGAATCTTGGGCGCGGCGCTCGGCGAGTCTGCGGCCCAGACCCAAGCTCGCGTTGAGGAAGCCAAGAAGACGGCAACGGACCTCACCGGTCTCGTCAGGAAGAAGAACAAGGAAGAGCCTAAGCCCGCTGCGAAGGCCACCGAGGTTCCTGCCAACGGCGAAGAGTCTAATGGCACAAAGCGCAAGGCCGAGGAGCTTGCTGAGGCAGATGAATCCGCCAAGAAGGCGAAGGTCGAAGAGTCGGCCTCTGCTTGAGGAGCAATCTTGTAACACTGTATTTTGGCGAATGATGTCGGAGGCCTTACGCGCAATAGGGAACACGGTATGGGGTCACTTTTCACATGGGGCATTCACGGCAGAACTGTACACTAGTCAAACACTCGGATGGTGGGGAAAGGTCATTCACGCGTTGCAAAGGGCGGCATTCATATGACTGAGCCTCAATTGCAATTTTCTCACGTTGTATCTGGCACATGTCACGTTATCTGATAGGCGTGGAATGATTGAATGTGTCGCATGTGTGCCCAAGGGGAGAGAGTGTCACTGGTGTGAGAGGGAGAGAGACCCTTGCGTTTGACCGCCTCAGCCCCGCCCCCGCCAAACTACCCCACCACCCAGCATCGACAATTTACCACCGTCAAGTCGTCCGTGAGTCACCTTGAGATAGTCACGCCGAAACAGCTGCAATCTCTTCCCGCAGTCCCAAGGAACGAGTAAGAATCGGCCCTCGAGAGCCCGTGTCTGATCTCTCTTATTAACGTGTTCACTTTTCCGCAGCTCGCCCCGCCGATCGCCCCTCTGCCACCGAAAAACTACCACCATGCTCGACCTTCAAGATTTCATCAAGGAGCGCGGCGGCGACCCGGAGAAGATCCGTGACTCCCAGCGCCGTCGCCATGCGCCCGTCGAAATTGTCGACGAGGTAATCGCCCTGTGGGATGGTACGAACCCTCAATCGCCCTCCTAGCACCTCCTCCAGAGGTACCCCTTGGCGGGAACAATGTGGGCTAACAGCAGCCTCTGTCGAACCGAAACAGACCACCGCAAGACCCAGTACTCGGCGACGCAGATCGGCAGCGAGATCAACGCCGTGCAAAAGGAGATTGGCATGAAGAAGAAGAACAAGGAGAACGCCGACGAACTGCTGAAGAAGAAGGAGGACCTGCAGAAGCAGAAGAAGGACAAGGAGGACGAAGCGACTGCGAAGCTCGTCACTCTCACCGCAAAGGCCAAGAGCATTGGCAACTATGTCCACGAGTCCGTCCCCATCAGCGACAACGAGGACAACAACGTCACGGAGCGCGAGTGGAAGCCGGAGGCTGGACTTGGCGCCAAGACGGAACAGACGCTCTCCCACCACCAGATCGTCACCCGGCTGGCGGGCTACGACTCTGAGCGTGCGATCAAGCTTGTCGGCCACAGAGGCTATTGCTTGACCGGCTACGGACTCTTCCTGTATGTTGCCGGGTCACAAGAGCGTGGGAAAGGAGGTGGAATGCTGACAAGTCACGAACAGCAACCAGGCGCTTATCAACTATGGTCTTGAGTTCCTCTTCAACAAGGGCTACACGCCCAATCAGCCCCCCTTCTTCATGAACCGCAACCAGATGGCCAAGACTGCCCAGCTTGAGCAGTTTGACGAAGAGCTGTAAGGAAAACCACAAGCTCGGCTCTCGTATATTGTATTCTGACATACTCTAGGTACAAGGTGACGGGCGACGGCGAGGAGAAGTACCTCATCGCCACCAGCGAGCAGCCTCTCTCCGCCCTGCACAGCGAGGAGTGGATCCAGGGTGGCCAGTTGCCCATCAAGTACGCCGGTTACAGCACGTGCTTCCGCAAGGAGGCCGGCAAGCAGTACGTTAATATCATCTGCCTGGTATGTGCGAATGTGTGAGGCTAATGAGATGTCAAACCAGCGGCAAGGAGGCCTGGGGCCTGTTCCGTGTACACCAGTTCGAGAAGATTGAGCAGTTCATCTTCTGCAAGCCAGAGGACAGCTGGAAGCACTTTGACGAGATGATTGCCGCCTCTGAGGAGTTCTACCAGAGCTTGGGTTTGCCCTACCGGTGAGTGACTACGGATTCAAGTAACGGTACCTATTGACTGACTGTGTGATATTAGGGTCGTCTCCATTGTCTCTGGAGCTTTGTAAGTGGACAACAATGCAACAGAACCCTAGTAGGAAACCACTAACATGCCTAGGAACAATGCCGCCGCCAAGAAGTACGACTTGGAGGCTTGGTTCCCGTTCCAGCAGGAGTACAAGGAGCTCGTCTCTTGCTCCAACTGTGATTACAATCTTTCCGCGACTGATGCCATCGCATACTGACGAAAGCAGGCACCGACTACCAGACCCGCGAGCTCGAGGTTCGCTACGGTGTCAAGAAGGCCAAGGAGGTAAGTCCTTCTCCCGTTACCTCATCAACCGAGTTTGAGAACTAACCTGCTGCTTCAAGGCCCCTGGTGGTGGACGCAAGGAGTACGTCCACGCTCTCAACGCTGTAAGTCCCACCTTTCACCCCTCTCCTCTGGAGACCCGAGCGAAAGCTGACAACCGGCCCCAAAGACCCTCTGCGCCACCGAGCGCACCCTCTGCTGCATCCTGGAGAACTACCAGACGCCCGACGGCTTCAAGGTCCCCGAGGTGCTGCGCAAGTACATCCCCGGCCAGCCCGAGTTCCTGCCCTACGTCGCCGAGCTCCCCAAGGAGATCACCGTCGTCGCCGGCCAGAAGAAGAAATAAACCACGCGTTCGTCGTCGAATTCTGACTCGGCATTGGGGGTTCGTGGATGATTGACAGAGGGGTCTAGCATTGAGTGTGGAGTCATGCTTGGCTCGGTCTGACGGGAACGATTTGGGGAAAGACTGAGTGGCGAGGAGCTAAGAGATACACATAACCTTGAGTTGCTTTACGGAGATTGTCGTGGCGGTGGATGTACGGATAGAGTAGCAACGCTATCAGGAAAAAAAAGTTGTTCATGCCTCTCAACCTCGCGTTGATGATATGCCGCTCGGTACTACTGCTCAGGGGCCTCAGCACAACAGTCACATGTCATTGTTCACTCAAGTGTCTCGATGGGAATGCAGACAACGTGCAGAATCATCAGGCTCGATTGCTTGGAAGCAGGACTCTACCCTGCCCATGACGCCGGAAACACACCAGACCCATCCTACCAAAACTCCATCCATGCCCAACTCCAAACCACAGCCGATATCTTTTTACCCAGACCCTTCATATACCCATCATGCTAGCAAATCGACCCTTACAACCAGCTCCGCTTCCTTACTCGAACTTGCCCGCTCCAAAGAGGCCATTGACAGCCTGGTGCCGCCTCTCGGCGCCCTTCCACTTCCTTGCCTCCCTGCGCTTCTCGTTCTCCTGGATCGCCGCGCGGCGCTCATTCTCCCTCGCGAGCGCGCTGACGCCGGACCGCTTGCTCGCGTTCTTTTTGATCTTACCGTCGTCGCCGAACCCGCCGCCGCCGCCGCCGCCGCCGCGGGCGGAAAAGGCCGACGGCGCAGCGCCCGACCCGCCTGCGATGCTGCCTTGCGAGCTCAGGACCGACGAGTTTGTCGTCGCGCGGCGGAGCAGCGTCGGGGTCTTGAAGCTGCCGCCCGACGACGCAGACGCGGCGGCGTTGGGCATCGCGAAGGCGAGCGCCCCGGTTGTCGCCGACATTGTGGACGAGGACTGGCGTTTGAGGGTGAGCCGGTCGACGACCTGGTGGCGGGACCCTGTGCGGCGCGGGTTCTTGCCTGGGGAGCGGTTCTCCTTCTTGCTCCGTGATGAGGACGACGGGTGGACGTTGTCGTCGTCCGCCTCGCTGTCCGAGTTCGGGTCCGTGGCCGGAATGACCTCGTTAAAGTCCTCGAGCAGGCTCGAAACAGACTCGCGGATCTCGCCCAGGGTGGCAGGCCTCTTGCCGTCCTTGGTCCTGCGCATGTTGGCGGGTGGCCTGTTCGCCGCGTCGGCGGCGAGGGGCTGGCGCTGCGCCGTGGGCTGGCTGTCCGGCACCGTTTGCTGTTGCTGTCCTTGAGATTGAGAGTCTTCCATCTCCATCGGCTCGGGCGCGAAGTCGATGAAGTCCATCTCCTCGTCGCTGCCGCGGTCCTCGATGGTGCGGAGGAAAGCCTGGTTGCCGGGCTTCTCGGCGATCTTCTTGATGCGTTCGTCGGTGAAGAGGGCCTGTTGCATCTTCTGGAACTGACGACGCTTCATCCGTCTGCGGGCCTCACCACCGTCATCCGAGTCGGAGAGGTCGTAGTCGGCGCCGCGCTTGCGGCGGAGCATGCCCGTTGTGACATCGTGGAAGAGCTTGTCTACCATCTTTTCGTCGCTTGCGCGCTCACGCTCACTAGGGTTCATTAGTATGATAAGCTTGCAGGTAGATATCGGTTCACTTACGCGTAAAGAGCAGCGAGCTTACGCTCATCGTCAGCAGTCATGCCTCCCTCGTCGTCAATCATCTCCTTGACAGAGGCAACATCGTCATCGTCGCTGTCCTCGCCGTCTACGCCACCGAGGCCGGCATATTCGTCCTCGGACTCCTCGGCCTGCTCCTCAACCATCTCCTTGGCCTTGCTCTTCTTGCGGTTGTATTCTTCCGCCTTCTTGAGCTTCTTCTGCTTCTCAACAGCCTCCTTCATGACGTTGAAGGCAGTTGTCCTGAAACCGAACTCGTCCACCTCGGGGCTGGCTCTCGAGTCCTCCTTGTCCTCGTCATCCACGGCCGCGGCGGCGACGTCGATCTTGCGGCGCAGCTTGCCTCTGCGGACGAGAGGCGAGTCTTGTACCAAGTCAGCTTCCGCATCGTTGTCGAGAACCATGGTTTCAACAGTGGATACTGGAGGTTCAACGAAGCGTTGCTTCAAAGGCGTGTAGTCCTGCGGACCAGCGTCTTGAGTAGCGTCGATAGAGATCTGGGTAGACTCCTCGTCGCGCACTAGGCTGTCGAAAGCATGCACCTGGGACTGGGAGAAGTGAAGGTGCACGCCCTCCGCGGAATCCTGCTGTGTCTCGGCTCTCTGCGTGTCACCGCTCTGACTGTCGAGGATCAAGCTGTCTTGTTGAGTGAGACCGATCAAGTTGGAGTTGGGGAGACTATCAAAGTCCGGCATAGGCGACTGAGAGGGCACGGTGCCAGGAGCTGCTTGGCTGTCATCCATGGTGCCAGCAAAGATCTGGGTGAGGCCGAGCCCAGCAGCTCCCGTGACGGGAAGCCCAGGGATGAAGGTCTTCTTCGCAGAGCGCAGGACCGAGGTAGGAACAGCGGGCGACTTGGTATTGGGCGCAGTGGGCGAGCGCTGAGTCGCAGTCTTGGGTTTAGGCGTCGCCTCGACCCTGTCCTCGTCCTCGTCATCAGAAATGACCTGGCTCTTCTTCGACCGACGGATGTCTCGTGTGGGAAGGTTCAAGTCTTCTTCAGAGTCGTCCGCATCATCCTTCTCGGGAGCTTCGGCATCAGCTTCAGGGTGCTCCGAGCCGCTGTCGTCGGCTTCGTTGTCGAATAGAGCGACACCTTCGACCTCCGCGTCAGAAACGTCTTCATCATCAGCCTCTTCGTCTTCAGAACCAGAGAGCTCGACTTCAACCATTGCACCTCCTTCCGCCTCCTCGTCGGAGGCCTCGTACTCCTCATCGTCACTGTCATCCCAGGCGTCGAGCTCGCCGTTCTTCCTCTTCTCCTTCTTTTCTTTCTTGGCGGCTTCACGCTCACGCTCCATAATCTCCTCGGCCTCTCTCCTGGCTCGGGTGACGATGTCCTCGACCTCCTGCATCTCACGCTCGCGCTCCTCTGCAGTCTGAACAACAATGCCCTTCGACTTGAGGTACTCCAGACGCTTCTCGCGCTCCATCTTGGCTTGCTGGCGCGCCCGCTGCTGTAAGTTGAGTTGCAACTGAGCAACCGTGATGGTTGGCTTCTCATACTTTCGCTTCCTCTCCTTGTTGGGCGAACCAACTTGGGCGAGACGGCGCAGGGCGTGAAGAGAGTTGGATTCCTTGGCCTTGTTTTCGGGGATTCTGCTGAACACGGCGTCGAGTTTGCTCTTCTTCCCAACAGAGATTTCTAGGTCATCATCGTCGAGGTCGATAACTGCGTGGTTTGCTGAAATGGTAGGCAGCTTGATACGGACATGGCGTTTAGGCTTGATCTCCTTGGCCGAGGTCTTTAGAGGAGACGCAACCGCCTTGCCCTTGCCCTTGTCGAGTCTCCGCGATGCCTCGAAGACATCGTCAAGCGAGATCTCATCGTTATCAGAAGTGGTAGGCGGTGGCATAACTGTTGTAGTTTGCTGAACCTTGGCAGGAGACGCCGTCTTGGCGACGGGTGGAGAGCTGGGTGGTGTCTCAGGGTCTTTCATCTCGGCATCCGTCTGGTGAGCCGAGACTGGCGTAGTCGGACGGCTCGAGCTCGAAAGCTTGGGGTCGGACTTTGCCTGGGCTCCAAAGTTGAAGCGCTGGAGGAAATCCGCCTTGGTAAACTTCTTCCTCGTCTTGGCCTCGTGGGCAAGCTGCATGTTACGCGCCATGCGCTGCGTCTCGCGCTGCATCTCCGCAACAGCCTTCTTGCCGGCCCTCCTCGCCGGCCTTACGGCTTGGCTGAGCTTCCTACCGCCCTCATCGTCAGTGATGTCGGAGACGTTACCGGCGTCCTCGTCGTCGTCAAAGAGATCGACGTTGGTGGTCTGCTGACGCTCCATGCGCTCGGCACGCTTCTTCTCCTCCTCCGCCTCGCGGGCCAGTCTCTCTTGTCGCTTGCGCTCAACGAGCGCCTGGAACCTCGCGCTCTTGGTCAACGAGGGGAGCGACGCGTCAGAGTCGGAGCCGTCGTCGGCTGTTAATGGGTTGATAGACTTGATAGGCGATTGGCGGTCCGGAGACACGAAGAGTCCGGGACTCGACTGCGCCACGGGGTTCTGGGTTGGTGGTGGTGTGGTCTCTCTAGCTTGCTTCCTTTGCAGTCTTCGCGGCGCGACAGGAATGTCGTCTTCGTCTTCTGCATCTCCCATGGTTGTGTCCTCTGCGTCTTCATCGTCATAGTCGCCAGCGGATCCCAGTCGCTTCTGGATACGGTCGAGAAAGGTTTCGGGCTCATCGTCTGAACCTGTTGTTCGGGTGCCGCCTTGCAGCTGGGCAGCGAGGCGTCCTCTGGGGCGGTAGACGACTTCTTCTTCCGAGTCGCTGTCCTGGGTACGTGTCGGAGGTGATATGCTCTTACGGGTGGTCTGCTTTGGCTCGTCGTCCTCGGAGCTGGTGTCGATGGCGGCCAAACGGGCCTCAATTCGTGACTTTGGTGACAGAAGCATCTCCGGCGCCGGGCTTGCGCTGGGTGAGCGCGACGCAGGCTTCTCTGAAGCCATTGTGGGTTGGTATTAAGGAGAACGGGTACAATGATGGGTATCAAAACAAAAAAAAGACTAGAAAGGACGTGTCCAAAGTTAATAGCACCTGAGAGTACTGATACTGCGTGGAGGATGTTGTGGTAGAGTTAAGTGGTGGGTGGTGGAGTGCATGTTCATTAAGAGCTCTTTGACGCGTCCTGGCGACGCGACGTGTTGGTGTACAAGTGCTGCGGGACCGGAGCTTATCGCGTACCGCGGCGCCACTAAACACGCCGATAAGCAGCACTTAACTCACGCGGACCCACACCGAAGCTCTTATCGGCATAGCTCCTAGCTTCAGCGCACTTACAAGTCACTATGAACGTTGTCTATGAGTGTGACGCAACGGGTGGAGGACTGTACTCTCATTGAGGTCCACGACGTTTAATATAGCACTGTGCATCTTCACGTCTATCACCAAATTAAATGTATCATTAGTCTATATCTTTTTACTTTCTTCTATAATTATAGGTATTTCAAGGAAGAGAAACGCCGAAACTATGAGTGCCTCATTTGGCAATGTGTCAGCACGTCCGCGTCTTACGTCCTGACACACGATGCACAGTTCTTAATTTTGTATTGCTAATCTGCTTGCAACCCAGATATTTTCTTCTTAGTGTCATGCCGCTTTAAGCGATCTAACCTCTCGTTAACCGACTTGTTAAACGTAACCACTGACCACGCCCTGCCGTCGTCATTATACCCAAAATCCAGCACGTAGTACCCCAGCAACACTACCAGAATCAACGGCGCCGACGTGACGAAATAAATCCAGAAGTACTCTCCTCCCGGGCCGTACGGTATTTCCATCCCAAACAGCGAGCTCGTGTACGCCAGGGGGATGAATACCAGCCCCAGCAGCGTCACCGCCTTGGTGCTTTTCGCCTCGCGGATGCTCCGTTGCTGCTCCTTGTACGCCTGTCTGTTCCCCGTGATGCTCGCAAGCCCCGTCACCGCGGCGTTGAGGGTTTCTGTGCGGTGCCGCAGCTCCCGGAAACGGAGGTAGAGGAATTGAAAGTCGGCCGTACAATCCTGCCATGCAATGTTTTCTGCCGTCAGGGCGCCGGCCCGTGGCGGCGGCGTATTCACTGGGGCCGGCGACGCTGGGTGTGACAGAGGGATGCCGAGCTGGAGCATAATACCTTCGAGATCCTCGAGGTACTCTCCCGTCCGCCGCTCCCAGCCCTGCATGTCGCTCCAGAGGGCCTCGACCTTGTTCATCGGCATCTTGGCGAGATCCTGTTTGCGTGTGAGGCCGCGCTGCACTGCCGAGAGGGTCGCGCGCAGGTGTTCCGTCTGCTTGAGAAAGTGGGATGCGACAATCTTCTTGACGAAGACGTTGACGGATTCCGGTTCCGCAATGTCCACCAGCCGGGAATGGGTTTCGAGGTAGAATGAAAGATCGTCCAGCATCGATGTCCGCGGGGGCCGCAGTAGCGACCTTCTTTGGCGACGCGGATTTGCTCTTCCTCGGGGACGAAGTCGAGATAGCCGCCTTGATAAGGCCGAGGCTTGACGGGATACTCGAGTTTGTATTCATCTCCTGTACGGACACTTTTTACTGGGGGGTCACAGAGAACGAGGCCTAGAGATCGTTAGCGAGTAGTCAGAGATTCGGAACGGAGTTACTCACAGTCCCAACCGCCTCCTTCAGTTCTCCTCGACCACACACCGCATTTCCTCCTTACAACCCCCACGTTCAAGTAGTTCCCCATCTCATCAGGAGAGTTGTCCCACCTGAAGTCTCGAGAAACCCCAATGTGTCTTCCAGTAGCGGCGCACACCCAGCGGAAGCTCGTCGGCTTCCTATCGAAGGTCACGACCTCGTAGTACTTCATCTCCAAGTGCCCCCGGCTTTGGATGACCGAAGGCAGCTGCACGCCGTCACTCTCGCCCATCCAGTTGAGGTTATGCACGACCACGCGCTCGTGCTCCACAAAGAACGACGGGTGCAGCGAGAAGCGCTCGCCGAGCACGCCCGCAAAGCCGGGGCCGAGGCCTTCGACGACATAGATGCTCTGCCGACCGCGCAGTGAGGCCGTGTTGCGAAAGTGGGCGGCCAGACTGGCCGGCTCATCGAAGTCTGCCGTCCTTGCGAAGGTGCCGTTTTCGAGGCTGAGCTTGACAACTCTGACGCCGTCGTCTGTGAAGGGAATGCGCTGGATTTGCGCCTTTGGGTCGCGCTGCCGCAGTCGAGGATCGGAGAAGCAGAGAGACCGAACAAAGTCTTCATAATCACCGGCCGCGAGCCATGCGCCGCCGTCTTTCTCCATGGCAGCAAAATAAGGCGTTCAACGCAGGTAAGGCGCGTAACGGGTTTATGGGGTACCAGATACGCCAAATGCCGGGAACGGAATGATAAGACGGCGGAACGAGACCCTTCAACGAGCCGCTGTCACGAGTTTCGAGCCATGACTATATATCCAAATGACGAGGAATGAACACGCACACGGCGATCGTGAACGCGTAAGGAAGTGGGAGCAGCGATGGCAGAAGCAGAGCTGAGAGCAGGCTGCCGTGAAATGGTTTGGTATTATGGGTGGTGGCTGAAAGTGGATGGGAGTTGCGGCCATTCCATCCCACCCCGGTCCACCGTCAGCCAACGCCAGAACCCCTTCCTTGCCCGTTTGGGACACCGATGAGTGGCTTCGCTCACGCCTAATCTCCTGGCCACTCGGGAGTTCCCTTACTTTACGCGAACGTCGTGTTCCTGCTCGCCCTGCGAATCGTCCCCAGATCCTTTCAGCGCGATTTCCTCGCATCGGACATGGGCGATCTGCGGCAGCAGATATGCCCAGGTGACTGACCACGCACTCGCCCTCCGCCTGCCTGGGTGTCGCTGATGCCTTCCTCTCTTATCTTTACCGAGCAAGCCTCTCTATTTTTGAGACAAATGCGCCGCACTCCTGCCGCATTCCATGCATGGAAGGCCGCTTCTCAAGCGTTATATTGGCTCTGTGCCTTTATCGCCTCGCCAATATTGATCCAGTCAAACTTTTGCCCCTTGGTCAGCCCTCCCAAGCAACGCAAACAATGACTACCCGAGCTGACACGGCCGCCAGCTCGGTGTTCGAAAAGGGGTCGACTTACCAGAAGGACGTTCGGTGTTCGTCCCCACATCCCTCTGCATAAATTTACCTGCTTGTCGATGGACTGCAGCGAGTTCGTTTTCGGTGCATTCAATTGATCTGGGATCGTGATACCTGCAAATAACTCAACGTCGAGGAAATGATTGACGAGGTACATGTAGCCGTTCGGGTTGGCACCCTGCGGCCGGTTGATGGTGCAATTAGGGAAATCCGCGTTCGTCTCGCCGAATGGAGTCTCCCAGTAGTACTGGAACTCGTCGAGGATATAGTCCACCTTGCTCGTGTCGGAGTGATAGTCTGTCGCTGTCAGCCCGCCTACCGATGAGTCTTAGTGGCCCGGGAACAAAAATTACCCATAAAAATGACCAGCCGGGTGCCGTCGTCGATGAGCTTCTGAAGCGTCGGCCACTGGTCCATGGCCACCTTCTCCTTGGGCCTGAAGACGTACTTCTCCAGACCCGTGTCCTTGAACGTGTCGCCGAACTGCGTGATAGGCAGCGCATCGATGTTGGTGAGAAGCAGGGTGACCACATCCTGTGGGTGAGCCTCCATCCAAGTAGTGATCTCCCCGAGATATTTGGACAGTGGTCCTGAGTCCAGCAAGATGCAGGTTGTATGGCACATCTGGATCTGGCCGTCTTTATTCTGGGTCTGGGCCTGGAGAAACCGCACGCCCAGGTTGAGCTGGTCCGTCACCGATATATATTGGTTATGGGCCGGCGTGATGCCGACAAAGGCACTGTTGTGGGACCCAACGAAAGTCACGTCCGAATACTTCTTCCCGCAGAGGGCATCGTTTCCGTTGCAGGCGGCGGCGGCAATGCCCGCGAACACGGGCAAAAAGCGAGCGGCGCGCATCGTGAGGAGGAAGAGTCAGGGGTAATGATACGGGAGGCATGGAGATCATCTTTTGACGCGCGCAGCTACAAGAGCATCTATATAACTTGGTTCTGTGGAAATCGCCAAGTCTTCGGCCGTCAGGGACTTTTTGATATATTGAGAGTGACATCTCGGACGAACTGGCGAATCAGATGCTCTATCGAGCCAGAGCCGTCGCTTTGGGTGAGATGGTTGGGTAGCCCCCATCCCAATGTTGGCAATGTCCGTTGGTCTCGAGCCGAATGACCCTTTGCAATGGAACCATCCGACATGTGAGCGATGATGACCAAGACACGTTTTCTCCGTGTGTAGTGCCACTGGGGCGAGGTCTCGTGGCTGGATACTTAGGACTACGGCGTATCCTGACATCTCGGACAGGTGGGAATAAGACGAAAAAGGCAACTCTAGTAGACATGACATGCCTGTCCAGACTGGCGGCCTTGCCACACCCGCCACGTCGGGAGGTTCTCTCAGCAGCAACAGCTGCAGTACACTTGTTGATGCATGACAAAACGGCTCAGCTTCTCCTCATCGCGTGAATAAGCATGCTGAAGAGGGGAGTGGAGAGTTAGAAGACGAGTTATGGACATCTGGCGCCGGGATGTGGTACTGCTTGGCATGCCGGATCCTCGTCGGCTTTCCCTCGAGCAACAGTGATAGGTCTCCTCGACCATATTAGGCGCGACTATCCCATGCGCCACACTTGAGGCTGTCAGAGGACGGTGAAGAGAGAGGGGTCGGGTTGGTTGTGAGGTGAAGAAACGTGGGAGTGGCTGCCACTCGAGTTGCTAGGTGAAACAAAGACGTTGGCGAATGACCGTCGCATAAGGGCGTTGGCAGTTTGTGGCAGTCATCAGGAACCGGCAGATGCAGAGGGCGTGGAGCGCACTAGAGGCGCTTAGTCGCAGCGGCCCTCCAGTAGTCGCTCAGGGGACGAGACTTGGCTCGGCAGCTGGCAGGCACGTTTGCCGATTTCATTGGTCGGGCACCACCTGCAGCCTGCAGCTGGACGCATTTGCTCCTGCCTCTTTCAGACATTGGAACCAAACATGATCTTGCAAGAAACACAACGTCACGAGGGTTGGAGGGACCTATTGCACTACAACCCTCAATCACGACGATTCTTGGCCATTGTTGCCGTGTCGCTTGGTTTCGAACGAACTGGATTTTCGGATCCGGTCGATCTTTACTTCCTCATCTACTTGGGTTTGCAACAAGTGCCTCTGCAGCAGTCTATCCTCGCTTCATCCCTCCAACCCGCGACTACACCAGACCACCTTGGCTGTCACGACTCTGTCCCATATGGACACGACTCACTGGCTGAATTTGCATTCTGGAGACCGATATTAAGCAATGCGATCTTGACAGGAACGTCTTATTCAGCGCCCAGATGCTAGGAGTCTGTGCCCTTTCACCAACGCCCCAACTCATAACTGACCACGCCCATATCTCCCCAAAACAAAATGTTACTAAGCGGTGAATTTGTTCCGTGATCTTACGCTATATCGAGTTTTCCAGACTTCTTTATCTCTTTGGCCCGGAACTCATCCAGACACCTGGTGAGTCTTCGTTGGGCGTGTCAGGCCACCGTCGGAACTGTATCGCAGTTGACGCCCATCGTCCTTTCAATGCACATAGTTCCGTCCTGCCCTGGGAATCCAGGGCGCAGCAACTCGTTTCCTTCGGACGAAAAGTCATCGCAAGCAACGTTGCGAGTTAAACCTCAGATCATCACGGCGATACCCCAGCAACGGCTGAAATGCGCTCGTCATCTTGCTGACGTTGTGACAAGCGCACCGCCCTCTACCTACGATGCAATCAGATGGATGCGGAGCTTTATGCAGCTGATCTCTCTTCACAACGGCCACACAGAGTGACAAATCTCTGCCTCACGCCTGGGATGTGTGTTCGGTCTTTGCATAGAGAGCATTTGGGCGGGATAACCTGATCACCATCGACCGTAGCGAACCCGCACGTTTGGTTCGCTTGCTTGCAGCTCTACTGGCCGTTTTGGGTGAACGATCTAACCTTGCATCTTCATGCTGCGAATAGTGGGATATCTAGCCTCTTGAACTCGCCCCTCGAAGACAAGGTCCAGCCAGTGAGAACCATAAGGTGACATCATCTGCTCTCGCCTAGCTCTGGGTTCGGGTTCGTAAGCATCAACGTCTGACCTGTTGATCTGCGAAGAAAAGCCGTCTTTCTACCGACACCGAGCGCGAGGAAGCTAAAAAAGACAGCAAATCCTCGTATCCTGATGGGCGTGCAATTATGACAAATTCATGAGACAACGAGATCGGACAACCCTTGACCAAGTCACCAGCTAGGGATCTCCCAAACAAACAAACTCAGATCTCGACCCATGGATGCTGCAGAATTCTCACCTGTGTCGCGGAGAGGGAGCTCAGTGGCCTGCACAGGCCTCAGAGCAAGCATATCCGACGATCAACCTCGTCCTGATTTGGTTATGCTTGCTTTCTCTAGCGGACTCGCCGGGAGATCCCCCTCATTCCTCGTCTACCCACCTTCCCGGCGGATTTCCTTGTCGGTTGGGGCTGGGAAGGGGTAAACAACCGTGCGCGTGCTGACGAAACATGGGAAGTCCTCCGACGTCCGAGTTCGTGCATTCTTTGCCCAGGATTCCGCCAAGGGCTGTCAATCGCCTTGTCGAAGGCTTATTACAGCCCGACTCGAGACGACTTGCCGTTGCTGACTTTTTCCATCCCGCATGCTGCATTTGCCAAGATGTGTCAGCGGCGGCTGGCAATGTCACGTCGTCCGCGTCTTTTCGCGTCTTTTAACGACGTCTTCTAATGAAGGGTGGTATTGCTCTGAATCTCTTGTAATGAACCATTCGTAGCGACAAGGGTTTATCGCAAGGAGTGCCGCAGACGTTACTATGGAGAAAGGCGCCACCATCTAAGCATATCCGGCTTCTTTCCGAAAACCGATACTGGGGTGACAATCCTTCAGGACCCCTATGTATTCCCACGTTCTACGTACCTACCCAACGAACCCTCGGGTTCTAACGAGAGTCCGGCCTGTGGCAAGTCGACCTGTGTCGAGAGACCCGAAGGCCTTACCCAGGAGGGCATACCAAGGAGGGCATAGCTTTGCCGCTCTGCCGTGATCGGAGAGCGGAGAAATCAGGGGCACCCGTTTGCATTCCGTAGTTTCTGAAGACCAACGGAGATACGCCATTCACGAATCCGTGGTGTTTGCCCCGTCTCAACCTCGCGCAGAACCAGTCAGCCGCACGTTTGGCCCGAGTTCTCTGGCCCCCCAACCGACAATCTCATACGCCTCGTGTTTGAGGATCGACGTTATCCTGGTGTCGTTCTCAAATCTTTCATAGGCGGACATGGGATGGCCCCTGTTCTGTCCAGGAACGCTCCCGCCGCTAAACCTTGTTCAACAACATCGTCACCCTCATCGACGCCGAGCCCCAAACAACCGTGGATCCCGTTGGGCCTTACTCCTGAGAGAGCCCCGTCGCTCACCCACAACCGTGATTTGCCATGATCTACCAATCGGAGCTTGGATCACCATTAGCTTGTTCACGCATGATCCATACCCGCCGTCTTTGCCGAAGAAACTGCACCCAGGCTGACTCTAGGCGTGGCGTTTCCCTCACCTGGTCATCGCTCAGGACCCGCCGGCCCCTTCGAAACGGTGACAAACCAATCGCATCTTCGCAATGGTCGTCTGTACTGGCGCACACAACCTGCGTCGTCTAGCCGTCAGATCGATGCTTCAACTGATCTTTTGTGAGAATTCGGCTACAGGATGATTCACTCAGGGACACGGAACGGCCGCAATCCTTGAGGTTGGGAACTAGGCCCGTGGTTTGCCAAGACCCATCAGATGTCTTCCAGTATGATCGAAGACCTGTCATCCAGACTATCAACAACTTGTATAAGAATCACTTGCATGTCCGAACAAACTCTCATCTTCTTCCCTCTCATCAGCATCTCATCTTCTCTCCAGCCTTCTTTCATCTGCCATTCTTTCCGACACGAGCCAGGAGCTCCTCGACGGCCTTACACATCCTAATAATCTACAGCTTTGTTCAGATTCAACTTTCACCAATCTTTCCAACCGCCAAAATGAAGTACGGCTCTACCATCCTCCTCGCGGCTTTTGCTGCCACCAATGTCTTCGCCCACGGTGTCATCGACAGTGTCCAGGGTGCTAACGGCGTCACCCTTCCCGGTCTCTCTTGTTAGTCTCTCCGTCTCACTGGCTCGGAATCTCACTAACATAAGCCAGTGATCGATGGCACACCTCGCGACTGCGCTTCTCCCCGCTGCGGCTCCGAGGCCGACACCTCCATCATCCGTGACCGCGAGCTCGGCACCGACAGAGCCTCCGCACTCGGCCGTACCCAGGGCGGTGGTCCCGTTGACGCTGCTGCAATGGTTCAGACATTCATGAACGGCGCTGCTGGCAACACGACCGCAGCCAAGCAGGCCCGCGAGGTCCACGAGGCCATGATGGCTCGCCGCAACATCAACATCGCCGCTCGTCAGAACGGCGGGGGTCAGAAGACCGCCAAGGGCACCGTCGAGACTGGTGTCAAGGCTGCCACCGGCATGGCTGCCGGCCAGGGCATGCCCACGACCACTGACGACGGAACCATCAAGATGACCTTCCACCAGGTCAACCAGGATGGTGCCGGCCCCCTCACCGCTGACGTCGACGGCACCTCCGGCGGCACTGACCCCAGCGCCTTCAAGAAGGCCGAGGTCACCCAGAACGTCCCTGGTATTGGTATCGGCGGTCTCTCCGGCGCTTCCACTATGGACTTCAACGTCGCCGTCAAGATGCCCGCCGGCATGACCTGCGACGCAAACGTCGGTGGCGCCAGCAACGTCTGCGTCGCCCGCCTTCGCAACGCCGCCCTCGCCGGACCTTTCGGTGGATCCGTCGCCTTCACCCAGTCCGCGACCGCCCGCAAGCGCGCCGTTGAGTTCAAGCTCCGCAAGCGCACCGAGGCCCGCGCTTTCAAGGCCTAAAGTGCTTTGGCACTTTGGAGAGCATCGGGGGAGTAGTCTGCGACACTACGAGGCAACAAGGAGACCATATTTTTTTGACTTAGTTTCGATGGGTCGCAACCTGCCAGGGGCATGGTACGCCGGGTCATCGAAGGGGGTACCAGTTTGGGGGACCGAGTCTAGCAATGTCTCTGCTTCACTCTTGTATCATTTTCTTTCTGATCCTTTACATGATATCCTGTGGATATGTTTGGGGAGTTTCCTTATGTATTATACTGCTACGTAGGTAGTGTCACGATGAAATAACGATGCTTTGTGGCTTTTCAAATTCTTCTCCTTGACCTGTATGTTGATGACTTCCCGCTCCTGCAAGTATCCACAGTCGAGGTTTACACAAAAGATACAGATTATTTCAACCTAAAGAAGGAGTTGCTGAAAATGTATTGATTGGGGAGCCTGCTAGCCAAAACCAGAATCAACCAGGAGGCCCTAGGTAAATAGGTGGTTACTGCCAGGGGATGAATCGTTTTCAAAACGGGAGGTACCATGGACCATGTAGTACTAAGCGCTCTATTAATTCGCACAGATGGCTTCCTTTATGTTACACCTATCCAAGGGCTGTATTCCTTTCGGCCACCTTCTTTCCACAAAACCTCCAAAACTGGCGATTCGTAGAAAACCTACCGTTTGCTTGGAAGGCTGTGGTTACGGGGTTCCGGACGTGTCTATCTACTCGCGCGAGTCAACCAAGGCGCGCGCGCAGGTCTCGCACCCACTTTTTCGTCGTCTGAACTTCTCAAACCACGTCGGAACCGAACTGACTGAGGCGGTCAACAACTGTCAGCACTCTGACTCTTGCAACGCGACGGGCGAACTTCAATCATGTCCAACCCTCATAATCGCGCTAGTTCTCGAGATTTCCACGAGGTGCGGGGGGAGAAAGCTTCCGGTAAGTTTTTAAGTCGCAATCGCGCAGGAGCAGGTTTGTTTGACCCAACACCCTCAGCCACGTCCCGTTACTGTGGCAGCCTTCCGTCACTTGAAGCTTCCGCGACGGTCTCACCACGAGGGACGGGGAAGACTCAGTGCATTTGAGGCCCGGGCGAAGGCGCGGGGAGTGTGCCCAACGGACAAGGGCGTTCCTCCGTGACGCCGCGGGGGTTCAGGGTCCGTCGGGCGAGGGTTTGGAGTCCGAGAAGCTCGGATGATATGCAGAGCCGCGATTCCCAACTCAATCACTTAGACGCTCGCTGTCGATGGAACGGAGAGGGGAAGAGCGTCTGAACTTGGAGGTTAGCGTGCAAACTCTGCTGAGACGCCCTCTTTGCTGGGAGCGCGAACATGAAACTCGAACCTCGAAGTGAGCGAAAGGTGTAGGTCTGTATACTTTCCTTGAGATGAGATGTCGACGCCATGAAAGAAGTGTGTTCTCGATGACCTTAGCCCCATGTCCAGCCTTGCGTTTGCTATTTTTGCGATCATGGTGTGTGGGAAGAAAAAGTATCATGTCGTTTAGGAGACTTCCCTTCGCGCGGCGTTCAATCCCGATATTGGCCCGATGCTCATCCCAACATAACAGTTTGGTACGATTCTTCATATCAGACAGTCGCTTGGACCAAACAACCTTTCAATTCGGCTATGACGGCCCATCACTTGTACTAACCCCCCGATGGCTCAGCTTCCTTCTGTGCGTCGTCTACCTTTTTGGTAGACACTTGCTCATACGTCAGCCGAGGCATTTCAATCTCTCCATCACCCTCACTCTGCATCTGGCTTTCTACAGTCAGTTCGCGCCAACCAGCTTCTTCTTGTTGTCGAAGAGATTCCGCGGCGCCGGTGAGTATGCGCACTGACTCGTCCGGAAGTCCGTCACGATGCCGTTCACGTCAACCTCCGCTTTGTGCTCGTCGCCCCACCCGCACCGGCCCCGACTTCGGTGCCCTTGTCGGACTCCACAACGGACGCCTCGGCATTGGCGGCGTGGGTCCTCTCTGTGATCTCGTTGTAACGCAGCTTCTTGGCTACGCTTAGCCCTGTGAGTAGGGAAGATGTCATCCTTATAGTTTGAAGCCTGGAAGCACTAGCCGATGCTGCGGGAGGAAAGACTCTGGGCGATGTAGTCTGTGTCTGGTTCGAACTAGTTTGTGGCGAGAGCGTCGCACATCAACATAGTTGGCTCTCGGTACTGACCGGTGCGTCAGTCGACGCCCCTGCACCTCGAGTAAAAAGGTTCTTGACCCAGAGTCTGCCGTGGAGTTTGCGCAGCCAAGTGCGTGATTCGGCGAAGCCGCCTTGCGACACCGGCGGATAGCAGAATCCCTTGCGGATAGGGACACATGATTGCCTCCTTTTTGGAAGACTAAAATCCTAGTAGATATTCTGTGATGGCATCGAGCTCTAGTTTATGATTATTCCCGGCTATTTCGGCGCGAGGGACGAGGATGAGGCGGGCAGCGGGTTGTGGTAAGGCTTCATGGTGGCTGTGCTTCTAACAGGCTGCGAGCGACGGATTCAGGTATCACTGTATCAGCACAATACTTTGGCCTCGACCCACGAGTTGGAAACCGGATGAGCCTGCAGAACCGAGTATGTGACGGAGTAGAGAAGAGTCAACTCAATCCACAAAGTCTATAGGTTTACACACTGAGGCTTGCATGCCAAGGTCGTGTGCAGCCTGTATTCACGACTGGCAGAGGTTTCTAATAATGAGAGGCACAAGCGGGGAAATGCTTGTATTATAGAAGGAAGGAACATAAACTGTGTTCCCCTTACGATTGAACTACAGTTCAATCGTATGCCGTTCGTCATCCCACCGGACATTTAACCATTGGCATGCAAGAACATAGATTGTACGTACTGTTGGCTTACCAAAAACTTTCTCATTTGTTCTTGATGGCTCAGGTAAATTATAATACCTCTTTAATGAAGATCCTGTAAATTAAGTCAATAGGAAGAAAGCTCACGGTGGGTCGATATGTCGTCCCTAGGCCGTGTCAGTAGTACCCAACGATGTACTTGCAACAGGGGAGATGTCTTAGGCAATGTGGCAGCCATAGTAAAAATTGATGTCGAAGCATGATATTTCAGTGAGCATCACCTTTTAAATAGTGTCAGAAAGGAGGAGCATGATGTTTGAAGCTTGTGGCTTAGTATAGATTTAAGTTATCTCTACTGCCCACGGGCTTGATGAGTCTGCCCTGGATATTCTCGGCATGCAGATCACGTTCCTCTCATATGATTGGATAAGGATGTAAACCCAACATGAACCTCCGTCCATAAACATGAACCATCCTTGGACATTCTCGTTACGCCAGTCCTGTTTCGTCTAAATGATTTGATGAGAAAATAACTCACGGAATGAACCGCTGTCCCAATTGTGGATGTGATTGCTGCAGCGGCGACTTTGCAACTGACCTCGAAATAGGCAAAATAGGTGACCCAAAAGTACAATGAACTGAAATTGATATGCACTTGGGGCTCTGACTAGCTGTTGCCATGCAGCGGCCATGCTTGCGTGTTCACATCAACTGCGACTGGAATAAGGAATGTTGCATATGTTACGTGCGAAAAGCATTTAATTATGTGAGCGAAACCACCAGTTGCATTTGTATGCACAACAATCATGACATGGGTTGGCGAGCGACCACTCATTTGAAGCAGGCAAACCGAGTGTAACGATTGAGCCTTCACCGTCTGCGAGCCTGCATCATGCAGCATGCAAGAAGACTAATTCTGTGGTCTCGCGTCGTCTTTTCGAGCATAACCCGATAATACTGGTCAGGCTTTGCCGTATCACTCCGTAGCATGCAGCGATTCGAGTCCTTCTAGGTAATACCTCATGCGAAAACAATCAGAAGAACATGTCAAGTTGTGACATCTGGCCGTGGCAAACGATTCGTCGCGTAGCGAACTCTGAGTTGTCTGTACCAACAGCACCAAGAGCATGAGGGCTACGACACGTGCAAACCCATTTCCGTTGTTGCTTATGAGCCATATTCCGGATTGATGCAAAAATGCTAGAGTACGCCCCGTAGTTCATTCTTAGTCCATCCCTTTCATCAAGACAAAGCAAGAGGTGTTATACCACACTATTGTTCAACGCACACTGTTATTTATCTTAGCAACCATGCGTCATCTCAGCGCTGTTAGATTTTGCCTGCTCCAACTATGCGTGGTTGGAACTGCGCAGGCAGATGCGTGGGACGACTTCGCCAACAATTTAGCCACAGATCTTGCGCCCCTCCTTGCGCTGTTCGGCGAAGAAGTCACGAAGCAGTTCCTGAGCGAATCGACGACGAGATGGGATAATTTTATCTTCGCAATGGCCCCATTAGGCGTCATTACGGCAATTGTGTCCGCGATTCGCGTGTGCGGCGCTCCTTCCTTGCGCGCCTTCATCGGTCGAGCGCAAGAGGGCGGGGGGTTGCAGAAGCAGAGCTGTGCTCGTCCACGAGCCGTGACGTCTGCGAACTCTACCACAACGGGGCGATCGTCCGGGTATTCGGACGCCCCAAAATCCTCGAGATTGTTCACGATCGCGAGGCAGCCAACAAAGAGTTTTCTGGTGACCAAACGCCGTCCAAATGCGGCATTTACTCCTTTCGCGAATACATCGAAACGACGTCTGCTGAGAATGCCGGATGGAGAGAAGTTGGAAAACAATCTAGAAATGATCCGGAAGCCGAGAGCTGCGCATCTGGCCACAACACAGATGATAAAAACTTTGCTCCAAATCCCAACCTTTCCTTCAACATCGGGATAAGAAGGCTGCGCGGATTTGTCCCATGGCTGGCAGCCATTGCTGCATTTCTCGCGCAGGCTTCAGTGTTAGTGTTTGGGGGTCTTGTCACATTATGGGGTTGGAAAAAGGAAGATGACATACCTCCTACTTGGGCCTTTCCCCTGATGTTTCTTGGAACCATAATGCTATGCGGCGGAATGTTCCACTGCGCACTCTTGGTGGAAAACAGCACAAAGGAGAGAGTGTTCCGCAAGCAAAAGAGCAGCAGTAAGGACAACGA